CTGTTTTAATCCTAAAAGAATGGACAATGATCGCTAAATCACTGGATGATCGATGCTACAGAAACAAATTTTTATTAAATTTTAATGAGATCGAATTTTCATTGAGCTTACCATTGGGTCGGAGAGTCACTGTACCTTTCCTAGAGTTGATAATAGTTAATAATATTTGCATCGATACGTGGAAGGACACCTGCTTCGCGATTTCGTCGGCTGTGCGTGGGAGGGGAAACAGGAAACCGTGGAGAAAGTTAGCTCCAGGCTATCCCGACTTCTATCGATTCTCTATTCTCCAAAACATCTCTCAAATTTCCCCGAAAGGGACTCTCAATTGTCGATATCTCGGTTTGGATATCTTCGCAGAAGCCATCTTCGGTGTCAACAGAACAAAGTATGGAACTCGACAAATTAAAAGGGAGCTCAGCAACCGTCTGCGTCATGTAGAACAGGGATTCCCAATGGAGATACACGGCCCCCTAGTGGGGCACGTATTTATTCAGGGCCACGAGTAGGAACGAGTGAACGCAAAGATGCGTAATAACTTCAGAGTGGGCCACTGAATATATTGGTCAATTCGAATGCAGGAAGAAGAATTGAGATAACTGCTTGTTACGGGCAAATGGTATACTTTAATTCATGATTCGTCTTTTTTTTTTTAAATTTGTCTCATAGCCAGTTATGGAACCCGCGGAGACTCTTCAAGTTTTTAGGTTTAAGTTTTTAAGTTTTATTTTTAGCTTTTATTTTTAAACACAAAAATTGCGACACGTCCCATAAGAAACGTTCTTTCCTGCACCTTATTTCGTCCTAGACAGACTTCCTCCCTTGGAGATCAAAAACAACTACTATCAAAAATTTATTATCCAAAAATGAACTACGAGTGCCAGTGAATACAGGAACCCTCGGTAAGGACTTCGGTGATCGAGATTTCCTCGATAAACCCAAAAGACTTACTTTGCACCTCGTTTTGTCGTAGATTTTACTATCCGAAACTTAACTACGAGTGCGAATGAATCCGGGAAACCTCGATAATACAAAATGAATCGAAGGTTAACGCGGAACAAAAAAAGAGTCAACGAGACTTCGAGCACGAGAGCTGACGAAAGTAACCAGGCTCGCTTTCTCCATTTACAGGCCTCCAGATACCTCCGGTCCTTTTTTTCCTTCACCGGTGAGTTTTGCCGAACGTAATAAAAAGGGTGAATCGACGTACACAGGAGTCAACGTGTCGATGCGGGCCCCACCCCACGTATTCGGACCAGTTGGCCCACTAAGTGACCCAGAGACGCCGATCGGAACAGGTTTCCCGTCGCTTCCGTCTAGAGGTCCGTGAAAGAAGCACGTGTCGACGCACTGTAACCTTCAGCTTTGGCCATTAATCCTTTCGATCTACTCGAAATGTTTCCATAGAGATGGAACGTTGCGTTCGATGAGGGGTGAGGGTGCAACGTCTAAGCAAAGATTAAGTTTACTTAAGTGGCCGTTAAAAAATACATGGGTTTAATAGTTATACTTTTGCACTCACTCAATATTTAATTAGTAGGAATACGAGTTTGGATAGTCTAGGAATAGATGAGTAATAATAAATCCGAGTTTGGGGGCGGACGGTGGAGCAACGCGTAGCGTGCTATCACGCCGAGAGCCTGGGTTCGAAACCCGAGCATCCGCGCCATTTTTTCAGGGTATGGCTAATAAATATAAAATAAAGTAATGGAAGAAATAAGAGAAAAGGAATCAGATCAATACTATGGGAAAGTAGCTCTGTGAGCGCTATAAAAACACACAGCCAAACAATGATTCGAATGAATCTGAGTTTAAGAGAACGATCAACGTGAGACCAAGAGAATGGAATTAGATTCGATATAGCCGAGGTACCCCTAGGTACTCTTTTCCTGGAAAAGCCGAAACGAAGATATGGAATCCTGGAGTTGCTTTAAGCGACAGGTTTAAGCGAGGTCGCTGCGACCAGGAGGATGTAACCATGGGTCCGAGAGAAAGCGATGCAAGAAGGCGTAAAAGCTACCTCCTCCCAGAAAAAGATTGAAACGGGTCAGCAGTCAATTAACTGTGAAACACGTTTCCCAAATATTCGGAACGAGTCCACCGAAAACTTCCTCCTAAAGACCGCCTGTCTACGTCGACAGTTACCAAGGATTATCCTCAAGCAATGAAAGGCTCAAGAGTCAGGTACGAAGTACCGTCATTCTTGTCGATCGATGACGATATTAACCCCTTAGCCTACAACGTGTGAGACTCGTGGTGTGGGATTAGGGTCGATCGCGAAAAGCACGAGAATGCTTTCTCGGAATATCGGAGCGAGGAAACGGTAGGGGGTTAACGACTGATGACGATTGGTATCGATTAGTGACGAATAACTGAAGAGTGGCGTAAGATGATTCTTCAGCAATCGTTTACTAAACTACAGCTGGGTTACGTTTATGCATTTATGGGAAATGGTGGTACGGAGAATTCTTTGATCTATGAGAATGTGCGCCTGGGAAAATATTTGAACTCCGTGCTCTATAATTTAAAAACATTTACTTCTTGAATGAATAAGATCAGTGAAAACATGAATTTGTTATACAAATTTACAAGCTAATCGCAACGTTTCGACCCCTTGAAATTGATCGAAATTAAATGATAGATAAATAAATGTTTCGTTAGAAACATGCACATAAATAGACCTACATGGTCATATACTTAAAAAGTTTATTTGAGAACATCAACCTGATCCATTTAATATGATCGAGTAATTACAATAACTTTGACAGATCATCTCCAAACATCAGAAGTGGGTCAAACCTATCTCTCCAATGTATATAATCAATGCTTCTGTGGATGGCCTCCATAACTGTAACCTCAAAGAACAAATTACACTGTTTGTCCCAAAAGTAGCAGAACTTTCTTTGTAGGAACGGTACTAATGGCATCGCTCGTTCAAACAGAGTGGTATCGTTTGAATGAAGCCTCGCTCGTATCTATACTTTGACTGCGATACGAAACAGGTGTCGTTAACCGTGGCGCCATAAGTGACAGTACGTTTTCGACACTTGTCGAGAAATTAGGATGGAGCAACTAGCTACGTCATCGTAAGTCTGTGCCACTTATCGTCTCCTAAAGATCTCGAATGCTCTCAGTTATCCGCGATCTTCCTTCGAATTGGCTCTTAATTAAAAAGAATAATTTTATCAGGAATGGGTGCGATGTCCTCTTCCTTTAATCGCTGGCTTGATGAGTCGGAATTTTACGATTAATTCATTTTACGATTGACCCGCACAAGCGTCAGATCACACTTTCGTACGCTGCGCGTTAATTCTGTAAAGGGCAACATATTTCTCTCCTTGCATCCTCTGCATCCTATTGGTTTCATTTTTCAAATCTGTGTCAAGGTCGTCGATACTCATCTTCGTTCTCAATCACTGGATCAGCTTTCCTTGATGACTCTCCGAGCCGTAAATCTTCGAGCCGGTCCGTTGTTCCGTTAAAGTACCGTTTTGCTTTCTATTAGGTCATTTCATAAGTAACGCCGTGGCTCCCATAAACAAACGCATTCCTTTTATGCCGGGACTAATTCTAAATTCCAACTAGCCTCTGCCATTTAATGACAGACTCGACGAGACTAGTTGTACCACCGTATCTGATTCAGCACATTTTATGTCGGGCGTTGCTGGCCAATTAAAACGATCCTAATCCTCTATTTTTAGTCTTCTGAGAATAATTTTATGAAACAACGCCATCTGGTTCGATGACTAGTTAAATTGGCTTTAAAAAGCTTCAAGCTTTTCCACGTTTGAAATTTTTGCACTTTGTGGCTTCGATTCGCACTTTGTTTCGTAAAAATTCGCCGATCGGCATCCTTTTGTCGGCACGCGAGCATTGTCACACTTTTGTTTAACCGATGACAAACAGTCGCCCGGAGGATTTTATGGGAGTCCGTCGAATAAAGTCATTTTTAGTAAAAATTTGTGTTAATCTATATCCATCCTGTCATCCTCTCACATTTTATACATTTTATATATTTATTTTATCATCTGTAGTTTGTAAATTAATTCCCGACTTGACAAGTGGATCGAGTAAGTGAATTATTACTGGCGAATTGTATTCAACGAACGAACAACGACACCGGGCTAGGAGAAAGACAAATTGATCGGCCATTTCTAAGCCGTACAGTTGTTGGAGATGAAGAATGGATACCATAGGATAATTCGCCATGGAGAAGACAATGGGTTACTCGAGGAGGGATATCGTATATGCATTCAATGACTGGGTCTCACCTCGAGCTTTCATTTTACGTCCATCGGCTAGCAAGAGAAGATAAACCATGCAAAATGTGATAAAGTCAGAGCAATAATTTACGACCAGCGATTAAAGAAATTATACCTCTCCTAACGCATAAATATGAGACTATATCGAAACGAAGTCTAAGAAAATTAAAATGCTTGTAATTTATAACGACCACCAAGGAATAGAGGTTTTCGTTTATAGAGGTTCGTCTTGAGGTTCGTCTTGAGGTTCGTCTTGAGGTTCGTCTTGATACACGTTCTCTTGAGAGACGAATTTTATATGAATTTGCTCCAGTTGTGTACCGTGTACATCCTCGATGAGGACGTCAGAGACTGAACAGAATCGTTTACACGAGATCCGCGTAAAACATGTTAACGTAAACGAGAAAACTAGATGTTTTAGTCATAAGACAACTCCGCACCCTTGCAATTAAACTTCAATACCTCGATCCTCCTTCTTTCGAAGTACGAAGAGCACCAAAATGGCGCAAGTGCGTACGAAACGTTCCTACCATCCAAAAAACGCGCAAACGAGGAAAGTAGATGCTTTAGTCGTAAGGCAACTCCGCACCCTTGCAATTAAACTTCAATACCTCGATCCTCCTTCTTTCGAAGTACGAAGAGCACCAAAATGGCGCAAGTGCGTACTGAACGTTCCTACCATCCAAAAAATGCCCCATGGCGTATCGAGTGTTCCGCTTCCGCCTCTCTCGGTCCCAAGCGGCTGAAATCGAGGACACGTCGAGACGTCGTGTAGCCGGTGCTGTACAAACGGCTGTGGCTTTTCGTTCGGGTGGTGGGCAAACGGACAGCAAGTGACGAAGGGGGATTCCTTCGTCCATAGGTGGATCGTTTCCACGGGACGGAGAGGGAGAAGGCCCAGCAGCAGCGACAGGAGCAGGGACGGTCGATAGTTTCGAGTCTTCCTGACCGATTCCGAGCGATCTATCCCCACGATCGGTCCCACCACTCTTGCTTCTTGGCCTCGTTCAGCGTTTATGCCTTTGGAAATCGTACCACCACCGGGCGCAGCCCAACCACCGCGAGGATAACTCGATGGTGGATCACGAAACGTACAAGACCAAAGTTATAAAGCGGACCGGCGAAACTGGCAGAAAGCGCTGCCACTTTGCGGATCGACCTCGTCGTATCACGATCCTTCTTCGAGTGGCCAACGCGGTCCCTTTTCTTTTCTTTTTTTTTAAATTCACGGTGGCACACCACCGCTGGGTGTCACCCGATACAGAGTCGAACGCGACTGGTCATGTTCCTTTGACACCGCATAGGCGATCCGTCGTGCGCCTCGAGTACCGTTTCAACTCGCATATCCGTGTCGTGTCGAGGAAGGTGAGAAGCTCCTTGGCCAGTCCCGGCTGCAGGTTCCTCGAAGACTCCGCTCGTTACCTCAGGTAAGGTCTCTAATTTTTTCGTCGCCTAGAAGAGGCAAGAACTCTTCGTGGTGCCGGGGTTGGTTCGAATGGATTTTTCGTTGCGTTGTTGAGATATTCGAGGCTTTAAGTCGTGTTCTTTTGGGGGTGAGATGTTGACTTCTTCGAGTGACGATTTCTTCAAGGGTCAAACGATATAGACTGATGTCACAGTGGGTTGGTTCATCGAGCTCAACACACAGTTATTCACAGAGATGGGCAAACCCCTAGGCTTCGAATAAATTTGAAGTTTGCCGATGTGTTTGTCTCGTTTTCTTCTTTGTAAAATGTTCAACAGAGGAAACGAGACAAACATATCGGAAAACTTCAGATTTATTCGAAGCCTAGGATTTTGCCCATCTGTGGTTATTCAATCCAATTCGATTTACTGGCTTCTCAAACTCCCCTCAGAGGGTTCATGGATGTTCCAATCCTACATCCACCTTTTCCAACTTAGAAGGTAATACTCTGTCACACCCCATATCCAACATAATAATGAGTCAAATTACAACGCGATTATATTCTTCGATAACAGTCCAGTTACGAAAGCGTTTGACTGATAATTTTAGGGACCCGAGTTCAAGCCCCCGCGGTGTTATTTCTCGGTCGAGAACTCCTTCGTACAAATTTTCATAGATTATAGTACTTGGTATCATGTGGGAGACTTCATAACGTATATAAAGGGAGCCAGATAAATAGCGTCGAGATAATTACATGAAACGCTAACTCGTTTAGCTTAGTAATGGGTATAATGATCTCGTTGAAAGTTTCGAGACTCGTAGGGTTAGATTATTATTAATTAGATGTCCGTGGTATTACGATTGTGATTATTATATCTACACGTGTGCAAAGATGAAGCACCGACTGCTCCAACTTGAAAACGACTATAGTGACTTCATCTAAATGTAGGAAAGAAATGATGAAATATGTTAAAATATATTTATTGCAGAAAAAGAAGAAAGGATAGGAAAAAGCACACAAATTCGTCTCGGCTCTCGACTCTCACGGTTTTCGCTAACAACTAACTGGATTCAAAACGACGCGACGCAATTTTCGCCGCTTTTTTTCCTCCACGCCTCTGTCGACTTTCGATTCTTTTAAATCGATGACTTATGTTAGCCAAAACTATATAATCGCGCTCGCGATTCATTCTAGCAATGTGAAATTATCGACGTTGAATATATGGAAATTCCTAGGAAAACAGATGTCAATGTTCGTACAAAGAGAGCGAAAAGAAACAATTGCAGTAGTAAAAGAATGAATTTAATTAGCAATCTGCAAACGTATAATTATTAATCATTCTAGTAATGTGGAATCATCGATGTTGAATATATGGAAATTCCTAGGAAAACAGATGTCAATATTCGTACAAAGAGAGCGAAAAGAAACAATTGCGGCAGTAAAAGAATGAAGTTAATCGACGTTAATTGTATACAATTAATTAGCAATTTGCGAACGTGTAATTATTTTTCCACGGAACGTGTTTGGTGATAACGATTCCGAAACTGTTCGAAACTGTCTAAATAATGCCCGACTCACACATATCGAGAAGGTTATCTTACAATTGTAACAATGTTGTCGGAGAACGAGTAATAATTTTGTTAATGAACGCAATTATTTAAATTACGTATTGTAACGTTATCACAAGGTGGCAGTGGACGTGGTTAAGAGGCAGATATTATTGTTTGTTCGATAGACACGTTGGAAACGAGTGAAACAGGATGTTTGCATAGGCTATTTGTTCATAAATTAATCTATCAGCGACTGGCACCTCGTGCAACGTGTCGACCACCAAACTGCAATGTCACGTTTCATTGCAGTATCGATCCCGAGGAAAAGAACTGATCCACGGATGATTTCACTCGGCTTTCAATGACTGTGGATTGATTTATCGAACTTTCACCGTAATCATTCGCGCGCCGTAAACGGGCTGATTGAAAATCAATATAATTGCTGATCTTGAAAAGTTTGAGAAATTATCGATGCACGTATACAATGCACTCGACGACATTCGAATAAGGACAGTCGTAAAATAATTATCAGGGTATATTCAAGAAAACCGCATAGCTCGGAAAAATACTTAAACGTCGTAAACGACAAAGTAATAAGAATTTAAGACATTTGTAAGATTTCCTTAGCGTGGTGCAACGCGAGTAATAAATTTATTATCGTCCCATCAACGAGCATCGAGAATATTTAGAATAGACGCGCGTAAACGCGGCTGTAAAATTTTATATTCGTGACAGAGTTCAACCGGGGGTCTTCTTTAATTGTTGGAAAATATTTCTGATACGCACAATCTATATCTACAGTTAGTCCCGTAAGCGTTAGTACATTCTATGTCTATTGAAGGAATTCATCCGAATTAAAAGTTTAGTTGGAAATTAACTATTACGTAAACTTGTTGAATAGTCATTGAAGATACGAATACTTGGGGAGACTGACTGTATAAGAATGCAAAGTACCAGTTTTACATTTGTCATTATTCAAATTCATACAACTCTTGCTTTACATTACTATTTGCGTTTGCTTCCTTACATTTCTTCATAATTCTCCCAGGCCGACCAGTACTAAATCTAGGATATCTCGTGACTGCTAAACAATAATATTAATCGCTAATATTAATTTTACATCAGACTCGCCTATATATTTTTCTCTGCGAAATTTATTCGATACGATACACCGCGATAGCTTAATTTCTGCGATGTTCTTCCGCGGCAATGCATAAATTTCCATTCGTAGAACCGTTTTTGCATACATTTAATCGATGTTTCCGTAAATATCGTAGTCAGTTTGACGTACAGGATCGATACTCGAGAAAAAAAAAATTATTCCCGTTACGAGCCAACGCACCGTTTAATGCAAATGAACAAAAGGAAGCCGGCTAATTACGTCGGCACTGGTATCTTTACGAGTTACGACCGCGTTATGCATGTATCGTCCACGTCAGGAGGAAATATTAACCGTGTGCTACCGTAAGTTCAAGGTCACTACAGGAATTCAACGTTACCGCGAATTTGTCAGGATATCGGACAAGATACACGGGTCCTTTCATAGGAAATGCGAGGTAGCTGAGAGTTTGATCTCAATTTATGATAATTCAATTTGAAGTCTCAGAAGCAGTAAGAGATGCTACTGTTATGGGAGAGCTAGCAAATATCCGTGAAATTGGAAGGGAATACTGAGAACTGATAGAGAAATAAAACAGGTAGTTATTTTAATGAGAACTAAGATGGATGTAACTGCGGGACTGTTTTAATTTTTTCCATTGATGCGGTAAGAATTTTGAATTCTTTGAATAATTTCTCTTCTGTGAATGGATTCGTGTGTGAATTATTTCCTTTCTTCGATCATATTGTATAGAAATCATTGTTCAAACGAACACCGAGGTTTACAAATTAGTTTCATTATCGTGTAGTTGTCACTACTTACGCAGAAACTATAAAATCTTAAGAATTAATTAAATCCCTTTCCACTTCAAACAACGATAAAGTTATTAACGATATTCAAGTCACGTCTGTGCGCAGTTTCAAATTGCCAAACTTCCCTCGCGAAAATAGCAAGCCGTGCCGAGGACTAAGTCTGACCACATACGGGCTGAAACTCCTTCGAGAACTTTCATTTCCTCTAGAATACGTTTGATACTATCACTTTCACTAGTTAAAAATAAATTAAATTAAACAGAACCATATGTACTTTTTCGTAAACAGTAAAATAAAACAGGATATAATACATTAAGTATACAGACACGATTTCATTCTCCATCTATATTCTTATATTTTATGCGTACGTGCATATCGATAGATTAAATTTTTCTTTTCGCAAAGAAGACCACGCCGTCCTGTTTAACTTTCGTTAATTTTTGAAAGTAAGAAGAGAATGAAGAAAGTACTTATATATTCACAGGGGTTCGAGACGTTTAGAGCCAGACATCTTAGTAAAACACCAAAGCCTGTAATTCAGAAAAAATTGACGTCAATATTAAACGACACAAATGAATAAATCAATTCAATTTTGTCCTCGTATATACAAGGATCAGTCCTACAAGTATTTGTATTCTATTGAAAATTTTTTCGAAATTTAATGGTACAAGTTTGATATTCCCAAACAAATTTTGCCACGAATAAGAGACAAAAACTGTCTACACATGCCACGATTTTCTCTCATAACAATTTTGTCCCGTTCCCAAACATTCCAAACGGTACGAAAACCGGTTGCGTACACCCGGTATATACGCGTATGGCCATCGGCGCGTGTCAATTTAAATCCGTAAACTAGATGAAAGCTAGGGGAACGTGCACTTGCACTTGCCACAATAACACGTCGAAGCCAGACCGCAAATGAAAGTAGACATTCCAGCGACCATGATTGCAGGGAGCATCGAACCACTCGAAATCCAAGCTGCTCGAAAGATTGTACCAAACATGTTTTCCCACTGATACACGGAGATACGTTCGGGTTCCTCGGTAATGTGAAAGTTACACATAAGTTTCCATCTTTGAGTGAACAACCGGATAACGCGTACAGAAGAAATGGCCATTAAGCGACGGTTAATGACTGCATCACGCCATCGAAGAAAGCTTCACTCTTATTAATACCACGAATGTACTTTCCGTTTTATCGAATGTTCACGCATGATTTCCGAATAATCTCTAGGAGCAAGTGTTCACGAGATCACATCAGACTTGAATAGCTTCAGAAATTGAAAAGTCCTGATAGCAGGGAGATTACAAGTCGATGGAATGAAACATTTGGGAGCTTTGAAGTTGATCGAATGAAAAATTTGGGAGCTTTGAAGTCGATGGAATGAAACATTTGGAAGCTTTGAAGTTGATCGAATGAAAAATTTGGGAGCTTTGAAGTCGACGGAATAAACAATTTGAGAGCTTTGAAGTCAACGAAGTGAAACATTTCGGAGCTTTGAAGTTGATCGAATGAAAAATTTGGGAGCTTTGAAGTCGATGGAATAAAAAATTTGGGAGCTTTGAAATCAATGGAATGAAAAATTTGGAAGCTTTGAAGTCGACGGAATGAAAAATTTGGGAGCTTTGAAATCGATGTAATGAAAAATTTGGGAGCTTTGAAGTCGACGAAGTGAAACATTTGGGAGCTTTGAAATCGATGGAATGAAAAATTTGGGAGTTTTGAAATCGATGGAATGAAAAATTTGGAAGCTTTGAAGTCAACTGAATAAAAATTTGGAAACTGCCACCTAACTCTTTTCATTTTCTTTTTTTTTTTATTTGCAATTAACGACATTCAAATAATTACTTACACTTACTTTGACCATTACCTTTCCCCTGCTGATAACGCTTTAAAGTAAGCAGGGGAACCAACGATGTTCTCGATTTCGTTTCAATGTCAACGCACGTAGAAAACAATTAAAATAATGTTGCCAGCGATAGATAATGAAAACGAGCAAGCCTGTTTTCCATTGTCGTCAGGTATCGTAATAGTGTACTTGCTTTCGTGTAACTCGAAGGAAATTCTGAACGGCAGTGGCTTGCTTTAATAAACGCGGCGCGAATCGTGCGTGTTCTTTACTAAACCTTTGTTAAAACCTATTCTGTTCCAGGCAATGGCGAACTTAATTAATTCCACAGCGACCTTAGTAAATGACGCCTACGATTACTACCTCTGGACGCTCTCTCTTGCCGGTAAGATGTAACGTTAATTTATATATACATGTGTACAACATTCACCCTGACACGTGTACGCTTATATCGATGTGGTAACGCTGAAATATTTCATTGCAATAAACCATGTTTTCTTTTATCTAAATGGAACCTTTAACATCCAATAACTCAGACTCATCCGTCGATTATTTTTAAGACTATGCAATTTGTATAGCTGTCTCTTCAATGAATTACACCTGTTAAATTTGGGATTAACGAGTTCGTCGCCAAAATTACAAATATTTCTCGAAAACTTGCATCGAAGCGTCGACGAGAAACCAGTTTTAAGCTATTCGAAATTTATGATATGCTTGTAAAATTTACATCAGAAAATGAGGCAATATTTTTACCAGCCAGAAATAACATTTTACTGGGAACATGGGCGACGAGTAGAAGCACCATTTAGTGATTTATTCCATTGAACAGTTATTCGAACAAGTTTTTATTTATTCAATATGAATTATCGCTTTAATCTACAGAGTGTCCTTTAAGTTATCAGCTATTTCTCAGAAATAACAGGCATTTGATAAAGACAATTATGACATTAAAATACTTGTATGCTAAGACACAATGTTTCAGTTCATTGGAATTGTTTACAATGTCTGTACAGATGAACGAACGAGAGGATGGATGCTGGTCGATTCACCAAAACCTACTTTGATATACACGCTGCTGTATTTACTCATTGTATGGGCAGGCCCAAAGATAATGAAAAATCGGAAAGCCTTCAAGCTAACATGGGCTCTAGTACCCTATAATCTCGCAATGGCATGTCTCAATGCATACATTGCCATTCAGGTACTTTTTCTGTTTACACAACTCAAATCATTCCAACAGAATACACTCTCATCTATACATCTACTAATTTATATGTTCAATATTTGCAGTTATTCGTGGCATCTACCAGGTTACGATACAGCTATGTTTGCCAGCCTATTAGGCATGTGACACGTCCTGATGAATTACAGGTACATTGAGTACATTAAAGATTATTAAAACTCACTTTTGCTTTAACATAAGCATCTGACACTTAAACACTTAATATACACACAGTGCTTTCTGTGGCAGTGTTTATATAAATAGAAAATCTAATTTCTTAGACATTGATGCTGTAACAGTAATGGAGCGTAATGAATTGTACACAATTTTGTAATGTAACATGAAACATAAAATATTGCATTAATTATTTATAAAAGGAAAGAAACTTTTGGGACAACCTAATATATCACTAAATATACAATTTGTAAATGGTATAGGAATAAACAGGAGTGTTATAAGAAAGAGGCATCCTGTTACAACATTTAATGTCTTTAGAAAAGAATTTTAAAGTGTAAATTACCTGTGTGCTGTTCATGGAAGAAAGCAGTGGTCCAACTAAATGTCATTGATACCGCTTGATAGCACGAGAGCATTCAACGAGGCACTCGAACAAAATTATACTTTGATTTTTACCTTTCTTTTAAAAATTTGAACACATCACGCGCGTGAACGAGCCGGTTGCACAATGATTCGATTTTACGTGTTTAAAAATGTTAACAACGTATGACAAGATGATAACATTGACCATTCTCGTTTATTCGAGCCTATTCCACGTTCTGACATACTTATTTGACACTATTTCACAGTAAAAATCACAAAATTTCAAGTTTACGATGAGATCTTGTCCAGTTCTGTCAGTGCGCTCAGCGCCATCTTGATACAGAAGGGCGGGAAGATATGTCGAATTTAAATTACTGTCTCAAGCGTACGCAGATATAGCAAATGATATACAAGGTGTTACAACATTTTTGGGACACCCTGTAATTCTTAGATTTTCGAAAAATAAAGTTGACTTTAAGAGGTCGAAAACATTCGTACAATTCTTTCGATGTTAAAAATATTTTCCTTTCTGCGTAGATCGCTCATGCTGTTTGGTGGTATTACTTCAGCAAACTTCTGGAGTTCTGTGATACGTTCTTCTTCATTTTACGGAAGAAGGACAACCAATTAAGTTTTCTCCACGTCTACCATCACTCCACAATGTTTTCCTTATGGTGGATCGGTATCAAATGGGTCCCGAGTGGATCAAGTGAGTTTCACATTAAATTCTTTACGAGTACTATAACGTAGGGAATATTTCATCTTCGAACGATCGTATGAGAAAACCAGTTAATCTGATGATCCTGGCAGCTCTTGAGATTTTTTAAAAAACAACGGAGAAAGTGTGGGAAGAGATTAGCGTAAGGTTCTGTCACGTATACTGGATGGAAGAAAGAGTAGAGAATTTCTATCTTGCAGCATTCCTGCCAGCAATGGTAAACAGCTTCATCCACGTTCTTATGTACTCGTATTACGGATTGGCGGCACTTGGTCCATCCGTGGCTAGATACCTTTGGTGGAAGAAATATTTGACGATCCTTCAGCTGATACAGTTCACCACTGCCTTAATCCTTGGCATCAACGGTATTCGATCGGGATGCGACTTCCCGCTTTGGATGCAATACGCTCTGGTCATTTACATGATCTCCTTCATCGTTCTGTTCGGCAACTTCTACGCAAAAGCCTACATCGCTAAGGTAACAACTAGAGAACGCCAAAATGGCGCCATCTACCGCACCAAACATGTATCCAGATATGCTTCTCTACTATTCGTACATTTTCATAATTAATAATTAATACATGAAATTAACATGAAACATGGATTTTACAGGGCAAGCAAGCATACGCGGAGAGACAGTTAGGAAAACTGAAAGCGAAACTCCAATTAAAGAAGGAAACTACAGATGGAGCAGTTTGCAACGGAAATGTTTCGAATGGTCACGCTAATGGATACGCGAACGGAGTGCCGAAAAAGACTCAATGAATAACGCGCTTCCTAAGGTCTTCGTTAGAAACAACATTGTCGCTCGAGATGCAAGCTACGAAAAGATTCAAAAGGAAAGAAAATTAACGGAATCGCGAGGATGTCGGTAATGATAATCTCAGACACAGTCGATCGATTTTAGTCCTTGTCAGTTGCCTCGTTCGTGGTCGAGGCAACACCAGGCAACACTCGACTGTAACCGTTTACATACCTTCACAACGTTGCAGAAATATCATTAAACCGATGTTTCTATGACGAACTGATACAACGTGATTGTACACTTGCTGGTCTGCGATGTTATTCACTCTTGAACCAGCAAGCACAAAATTAGAGAAGGATCGCTGGTCCAAGATATTGTAAATACATACAAGTTAGTTGAGTGTCAAGGTATCTCAAAAGTCCTCATCCATTTTGGTAAAAGGGGAAGAAACTTCGAACAAATATCTGTAAGATATTACATGCATATTTTTGTAAACAGCACTAACGTCTCATTTGATCAAAAAATACATGTAGTAAATCAAAAAAGTTTGTGCACAACCAGTTTTTTGTAAAAACTTCGTGTAAGACTTGTTTGCTCGTTTCTTACAATATTATACAAACACATACGTAGCTAGTATAAAACAGACACGTTAATCGCGTCATAAAGACATTTATTCGAGATTTCCTCCACTTCGTAGAAATGATTGAGGACATTTAAATACCCTGTATAGCAGTTTAGTCGTTGAAAGGAGAGTTATAAGGTCGAATGCGATCGAATACGATAACGTTGCGTAAAAATCTGCCTTGTAAAATTATAACGAAAAGGGATCGAGTCGGGAGCTGTCTTTGTTTTGTTTACTCGCTTAGAATACAAGTATTGGCGATCACGTTATGGTTGTACCTACATTTACACATTCGATGTCTAGCTAATATATTGACATACAGATATCCTACGAAAGATCTTTTCAAATAAATGAGAAAGAAAGGCATTCCAACACGATCGTAAACCATTAATCAAGGCGCACACGTTACGGAAGAGGAAGTCGTTGCATTTTGCAGTCACATGCCTAACATTGTATTTATAGAAAAGCCTTATTATTTAATGAATTTTGTTTAGGCATTTGTAGAGTAACGAAACACGTTTGTTACTAACTTTGCTCGAAGGCCTGTTTATCCACGACATGAAAACATTTACAAATTCACGTCAATTCTCGTACTTGAATTTTATCGGTCAGACGAATTAGATTAGTTTGATAAACGTTTATACTACGCAAACAATTTTTCTACAATAATTTTACACAGTGATTACATACACATACTAAATGTACGTAACGTGGTGAATCTTATTCGTTTCAACGGAAAAGATTGAAATAATAAAATTTGAATACAACAAAATAGTTTGTACGCTCTTCGAGAATCGTAAATGCATGTCGCACAAATCAAAGTTCCGTGGAAATGGAGCACGCCTAACGTTCTTGTGAACATTTTTTGTATCTAGTTTTCAAAACACAAAGGAGACGTCTCAGTCTGTTTGTTTCTAGCTATTCTTCCAACCATTAGGCAATAGGGTATTGTTAATACGATTTATTATTGTCGCAACATGTAAGGAAAATTACGATTGTTATAAAAAGGGCATTGCTGTGCAATGCGAAAGTCAAAAGAAATGCATTGTTATATTTATCCTCAGCAGTGTTCGTTTCATCATAACCTTTTCCAATCGATTATTATTTAGGTACAATATGCTGTATGTTGTCATTATAATATGTGTATGTATTGAAATTAGACTGATGATTGATACGCTGTAAATATTATTTGTTCCTTATGCTTGATTTTCATCAGAACATGTAACACAGAAAATAGAATACATACTTTTGAGAACCAAGAAGAACTTTCATACAAAATTGATATTGCATTTACACATATCGATATTGTAAAAGTTCGAGTTTTCATTTACAAGAAATTCGTAATACACGAGCATAATATTTTGATTATATATACAAGTAACATACATTATTAATATAAATGACTTGATAATAAAAAGAAGTACATAATTAGACAAAAACTTATAGTATTCTTTGACTACATTGTTTATTGAAATTTTGTACTTTTTTATACAAAATTTCACTATTGTGTATATAACATTTATTATTAGAAAGGCGATGTCAAACAATAACTACGTACACCAACGGCTCTTATAGTTTATTTAATATCTGTAATGCGAACCACTATACATATATACATATACATGTTTTTTAAGGGAATTCCCCTTTACGTGCGTCACTGCTTAGACACAGTTTAGATATTTCCAACAAACGCCTTCGATCTATTAAAATAAGTGCTGATAAAAAATCGTGGCACTTAAAAAAAGTAACAAAAGAATTTTCGTTAATTCCTTTTTATGCGATTTTTTGTCACACACTTTTTTATATGTGAAATTTGAATAAAAATGTACATTTAGAAGTTTGTATCATAAGCAATACTTTTTGATACATTTTTTTTTTATAAATACCAACTATTTATCCTCCTTTGTATACATTGTAATACCAATTTTAACGGAGTATATAAATATGTAATAAACGAATACACCGACATACAAATAATTTATTCTCGACTTCTAAGAATTACAACAGCCAACCACGTTGAACAGATTTTTCCAATGTAAGGCTGTACATTGTATACTAAAGCAAACTCAACCGGACCAGTTATATTATGAATTTTTGTCGCGTGTAACTGTTCGGTCAAATCGTCTATAGCGCATTCACGTTTGTTTAGTATGAAACCGTGAACATGATAAGCCCTGTATAACTGTTTCAAATCTCTCTTATCCAACTGCGGCTCCGAGGAAGGTTCTATCTTTGAGATAAAGTTTCTTAGAATGGTAATCGCATGACGATTGAATATCGTCGTCATGCCAACTGTGCTACGCCAATCGGCCAATTTATCTTTTAAGCGTTGCTCTACATCCACAGCTACTTTTTTAATTTGCTTCACCTCCTCGTCTGTAATACTTATTTCCAATGTTTGAGCAATATGATCAGTTTTTGTTAACGTAATAGTATCTATAGGTCGCCAGTCTTTGCTTAGTTTGACATCATACTTGAGATTATGAGCCAAAGTAGATTTTTGCAAATTTTCCCAGATCTATGAATATATTACGCAAATCAATTAAAATGTTCATTATTTCAAATAAATATATTGTAAAAACTGTTATACGAACGCCAAACTGATTAATTAAACGAGACACTTTCGTTAAGGGACAATGGCTGTCGTCCAGTTTATGATAACTTCCGGTTTCTGGGTCCCACAATGTGTATATTCCATTGTCACTAATACTTAGAACAAATGCAGCCCATTTACTTATTTGCGAAGAACCTGTTACATCGATCATTAAATAAAAATTTTTTTAAGATTATGAGACACAGTTACATACCTAATAGAACATATATTTGTAAACCAAAACTCTGTAACAATACAGCGAGTAGAGCTGCTCTTCCGTAATGGTCGACTTTTTTAATGTTTAATGCTTGACGAGGTGTAATGGGTCCATAATGAGCTGGCAATGGTGGTAAAAGCATCGCTAATCGTGCAACATCCTTTGGATTTTCCAAACCATTAATTTTGTATGGTGTTACAAGACACCGTGGAATTCCTTTGAGTAATGTGTGTACAGTACTGTTTTCCACGGACTTCACAGTACTCGGATGTTCCATTTTAATTAAAACATAAATACGAGTGCACGATTGACCAGGGCTAGCTTGTATATACCCAAATAATAATAATGGACTAAACAAAGGAGATAATACTATCCATCGTTCGAGCTCTTGATGATTCCTATGTTCCAGAGGAATTCTAGTTTCACCTAGCCACTGTTGACCCCAAACAGGATGTTGATCGTACAAACGAAACTTTATACTATGTTCGTCGCTTTGTTTTGGTAGCTCAAAATGCATTGTTTCTTGCCATACAGGTGCTGGACCTTCTGCTATAGATGTAGTATGAAACGTATTACCCCATTCAACTTCTACAAATGGTTGCACTAGTGCAGATTCTTCTCTAACTGGTATTTCTATTCCTCGCAAAATAGTAACAGCAAGTACTGTTCTTTCTATAGTATTGTATCTACGTGTACCAGATGATGGTTCTAGTGGTCGACTAGTTTGAAATAGATTTCTAAATGACATATCAAATAAAGAAAATGCAGGTTGTTCTGTTACAACTATATCTGGTAATTTTGGTTCTTCTACTTGAACTTTTTTGGAAACAACAACCTCAGAATCAACAGTGAACGACAATGCTGGGTCTTCTAATAAGAAGTATTTAACTTGCTTTTTGCAAACATTTTTGATTGGTCTGAGTAAAGTCATACTATTCTGCGGATCGTTTGGATCACTACTTAATTTATACAGATGAGTTGTGTAGGATTTTTGTTCTTTTTCACCATAATCACGCAAAGTAATTGTACACATTACCATTCCAGCATGTATTCTATCAAAATTGTCACTAATTGCAAAATCTATCTTTACTTTATTATTTTCAATGTTACGTTTAGGTAATGGCAATGGTAATATACTAGACTGTCCACCTTTGGCATGCACTTGTATGGAAAAATTATTGCATTCTGAATGTTTAATTAATAATTTATGCAATTTTCTGTTGAAAGGGCTGTTAGCTTTACATATAACTTTCTTCTTGAACAATAAAAAGACAGATGTGATATCAATTGTATCCGATTGATCTCCTAGAGTATTTATGTTTACTTCACGGATTACAATCTCTACAAGTTTTCCACAGAATTTACGTTTCGACTGATACTCTAAGATATTCATATTAAATTGAGAGGGTTCAACGTCACTGTAAATAAAAGGACTATCAGAAGCATATAATCCATCTTCGACTAATGTGGATTTTTTACTTAATTTCCGCGGACATTTGTTATTTACAGACAGAAAATCAGTTTTTTCTATTTTATTTATAGTAGGATGTGCATAACATAGACTTAAATCTAGCTCTTTCTTATCTTCTGTGTGTTGCTCGCATCCTTTGATAAAATCATCATTCTCCGTAGACATGTTAATACAATACTAAAAGAAGATTTTATTTTAATGAGAAAGAAAATGATTCAAGATTGCCACAAAAATGGGAATAGGACTGAACATGTTTGTTATTACTTCTTTGTTTACATTAAAGGGTTGCCTAGGCAACTCCAATTTTTTTAAATACAGTGGCGCCATCCGTGGGAAAACGCCCAAGTTTGTTGTGAAAATAGTTCCCACTGTTTCTCTAAGATGCCGCCACGGATATGTTTCAATAAATTAATCTTCATTTTTCATAAATGCATAATTAATACGATTATTCGCATTATAAAACTACAATATATTAGTTAATATGTCAAATGTATTATTATAATGAACAATTATTTGATGTAGTAATAATTATCGACATTTTTAGTTAGTGGCGCTATCTATCAGCAACAGTGGGAACTATTTTCACTACAAACTTGGGCGTTTTCCCACGGATGGCGCCACTATTACTAAAACCAGTGCTGTCCTCTTATTCCCTTCGCTCCTGCACCAAACATTTTTATAATATAATTTTTACATAATAATTTAATACCTAAGGGTGCAACCAAGAGCTGCTATAAAAAGGATTAAGTTTCCTTTCAAATAGCCCCAACAAAAATTTTAGCACACGAGCCCCAGAATTAATGATTATACGTCACTGGGAGGAAGCATGTATGTATTATAATACAGGACAGCTAACCATCGCCCAGCTGTCGTCTTCAAGCGTGACAAAAAAATATATACTTACGCAGCGTCTTGTCCTTTATGCATGTCTTTATGCAAATAGAAATTTGTTATTTTGTTAAGAGATACAGTAAAATTAATAACACACGCTATTAAGAGCGAATATACGATTAAAATGACTTTCAGAATTAGGTACATCCGGTTTATTATGTTAGGTACTAATCATTTTGTCGTACTCGATATCCACCTATACATCTTTCGAAAATGGAAGAATGAAAATGACATTTGTCACATAGTTTTATGGTCAAACAGTTTCGCAAGACTGAAGGAGATACAAAACTGTAAACAGGTCAGAAATCATGGTAAGGTGAGATCGCAGAATCAAGAGTAGAGAGCGGATACGGTATGTGCTCATGGGCAGGAAGTAGATCAACTTCAATTCATCGCATAATCAATCAGCTAAAGTTGCTATGTGGATCTCAGAAACGTTCCTTACTTTAATTCCGTTGAAATCAATACAATCGATTCATATAAATTTCGAGTATCGTGTAAATAGTGATATTCGAAAAATCGTTGTTCCTATGCTTTTAAATTACTTCATTTGCAATGTACTTTTAATGACAGCATCGTATTTCTAAGACACCCGGTACGCGGAGACGAGATCAATACCAAATAAATCACCAATCAAAATGCACAATCCAAATATGGAAGAACCGTCGCCCATGGTAACTGTATTTTCACGTAAAAAATGCCCAACGTTTTTCCACGTTGCAGCCAAGCTATTAAGATCATAAATTAATTCGTTTAATTGTTAACATTGTGCAGAGTGGTGAATGAACATATTACCGTTAATATCAATAAGACGAGCGATTGTATCGTTATTACCGGGACTATATTTTCCGTATAAGGTCCTTGCATACAGTCGTACGTAGGTACTGCGGTCGAAAAAACACCAATCACGAAAGGGAATGAGGTCATCGTCGACCAATCAGCGCGCGCTGACGAAGCCGTTCACCGAGGGTATAAATGGCAGTTCCAGCGGCCGGCGATGCATTCCCTTGGTGGAAATTGGGTGGAAGTGTCGTTGTTGTTAGCGAAAGCTCCATTACTTGCTTTAGCCAATTTTCGACGTCCTTCGTCCGTTTATACATCTTTTTTTAAAGAATTTTGAAGCTCTACTTTACATAACAAAATGGTAAGTGTCTTTTCTTTATCGATATTTCCAGTAAACGTGAAAAAATGCTGTCGCGTTACATAGAGAGTGGCAGCCATTTTGTAACGGTTAAGTGCCGGCCGGCTTCCGACATTAGCTTATACATGTCTCTTTGAATATCCTGTAATCATTTATTGAGCTGTCTAGAAAGTACATGCCGATTTTTAGTAGGCGGTACAGGTCTGATTATGTCCGAATGGCTGAAAACAAGTAACATGTATACATTCCTTAAGAGGTGGAAAGATTATGAAACAAAATGGTACATATATAATTCAATAAATATACATCAAAATTCAAATATGTTTTTGAATTTTTCTTAAAAATAGTCACGAACTTTCCGGACAAACCAATAATTTCTTAGACATTGATGCTGTAACAGTAATGGAGCGAAATGAATTGTACACAATTTTGTAATGTAACATAAAACATAAAATATTGTGTATATATTAATTATTAATAAAACGAAAGAAACTTTTGGGACAACCTAATAAATACGATATCGAAACTTCTGCTTTGTATACGATTCTGATATTTTGTATATTTAATACAAAACCCCAAATTTCGTTTCTAATAGATTTTATCTTCGTATTATTTCAGCGTGAGTGTATCTCAGTTCACGTTGGACAAGCTGGAGTGCAGATCGGTAATGCATGCTGGGAATTGTATTGCCTGGAACATGGCATCCAGCCCGACGGTCAAATGCCATCCGACAAAACGATCGGCGGCGGCGACGACAGCTTCAACACCTTCTTCAGTGAGACTGGTGCAGGAAAGCACGTTCCTAGGGCAGTTTTCATCGACTTGGAACCTACTGTAGTTGGTAAATATCCTCGATACGATGTGCTTGATGATTAGCGACTTCGGTTTTATTAAAATTTCGCTAATTTTCTAGATGAAGTACGCACCGGTACTTATCGCCAGCTGTTCCATCCCGAACAGTTGATCACTGGTAAGGAAGATGCGGCGAACAATTATGCCCGTGGTCACTACACGATTGGAAAAGAAATCGTCGATCTTGTATTGGATCGAATTCGTAAATTGGCCGACCAATGCACCGGTCTCCAAGGTTTCCTTATCTTCCATTCGTTCGGAGGTGGTACTGGTTCTGGATTCACTTCACTGTTGATGGAACGTCTCTCCGTCGATTATGGCAAGAAGTCAAAGTTGGAATTCGCCATCTATCCTGCTCCCCAAGTCTCTACCGCAGTCGTTGAACCGTACAATTCAATTCTCACCACGCATACCACGCTCGAACATTCCGACTGCGCATTTATGGTCGACAATGAAGCCATTTACGATATCTGTCGTCGTAATCTGGACATTGAGAGACCCACTTACACGAACTTAAACAGACTGATCGGCCAAATTGTATCCTCCATTACAGCTTCTCTGCGATTCGACGGTGCTCTTAACGTTGATCTGACAGAGTTCCAAACTAACTTGGTCCCTTATCCCAGGATTCACTTCCCGTTGGTAACATACGCACCCGTCATTTCAGCAGAGAAGGCATATCACGAGCAACTCTCTGTATCAGAGATTACGAACGCGTGTTTCGAGCCAGCAAACCAGATGGTGAAGTGCGATCCACGTCACGGGAAATACATGGCCTGCTGTATGTTGTACAGAGGCGATGTGGTACCCAAGGACGTGAACGCGGCGATCGCCACCATTAAAACGAAACGCACCATTCAGTTTGTTGATTGGTGCCCTACTGGATTCAAAGTTGGCATTAATTACCAGCCCCCTACCGTGGTGCCTGGTGGTGATCTTGCCAAGGTGCAACGTGCCGTTTGCATGTTGTCGAACACCACGGCCATTGCAGAGGCCTGGGCTCGTCTCGACCACAAATTTGATTTGATGTACGCCAAACGAGCATTCGTCCATTGGTACGTCGGAGAAGGTATGGAAGAGGGTGAGTTCTCCGAGGCTCGCGAAGATCTTGCAGCACTCGAGAAGGATTACGAGGAAGTTGGAATGGATTCCGCTGAAGGCGAAGGAGAGGGTGCTGAAGAATACTAAATATTTTACGTTTTGATACACCCTTTTTTTGCAATAAAGTAAGTGATTTCCATCGACAACGTGTTGTTCATTTGAAGAATACCAATCCTTTGTGTAACAGTGGTTTCCATGTTGAAACATGTTCCCTAAAATTTTGGCCAAACAAATTTGAACAATTGTATTAATAAATACATAACATTTATCACGCTATGAAATCATTTTTTTATTAATTTGCGATAAAATACCGATATTTATACTCATATTTTATAAAAGTTGTTTAGGAAAGATTATATCTTACGAAAATAGTTCCAAAACAATCCTCTATGGTTGCCGTACACGTAATTAACCTAATATTTGTATAATAAACTCAACGAAGATACACATACATACTTCTAGATTTTCATTTCTGTACATTAAACATTTCTAAAACATGAAATATTGGAGGATTCGTAAAAAAATATATAATTAAAAGACAATTCTGATCATGTTCATTTTTTTCCACCGCATAAAATTAATATGAAATGAACACATTCACTCAAAAATTGACCATGCCTGTGAAAAAGGCATGTTCTTTTAATGCGTTAATTATTGTTTTGTTTATTTGAAATTTATATTACAAACTCTTGGGGGAGGTCATCATTCTCCAACTCGTAATTCATATTATCAAATCGAAATTCGAAGAAATCATCGGGCTCTTCATCGTCTTCCAACATTCCCTGATTCAACATATTATAGCACTTCGAACTTATATCTCGGAAATGATCGTACGGTGAATGAGGGTTTAAAATTTTGTTGCATAACCAGCAGAAGAATGTTTTACAATGCGAACATATCATTTTGTTGCAGCCATAAGATTTCTGAAAAATCAATTTCCACAATATATACCTTGGCACGACAATCTTTTTGTTTATCAAAAAATAATTTATCCGGATTCGTTATTCGTTTCCGATAGTGTTCGTTAACGACGAATAAAATACAGTACCTCGATAGAAGCGTTGCATTTAGGACACTTCTGGCTGTTACTTTTAATCCAATTCTCAGACATGGTATTGTCTACTAAGCTTTGAAGTTGCTTTTTGCCATAACGTTGTTCCATTTGTAGCTTCCTCTCATTGGAGGCTTCTTGATATTCGACTACTAACTGGCGTGTTTCAGCTTAAAATATATAAAAATGCATGCACAGTACGTCTTACAATTTCTGTGTACAACAAAGGGTTTCTAATTTTAGATATAGCATAGGAACATACCTGAGTAGATCTTACATGGTTCTATACCATGGTATCCCATCTTGCAATGAATACAAAATGCGTATTGACACACTGGACAATTCGCCAATTGTTCATCTGGTTCACGACTAACTGGATATTGACAATTACGTCTCGGACAATATACTATGTCCGGCATAGTATCTAGCGTTGCATTTAGGAGTATAGAATCATACTTTTCAAATAACTCTGAACTTACTAGATCCTTTATCTGAACATTTTGATAAAATTATAAATACAATAAACGATAATAATTTTAAAGGAATCAATCAAACTTTCGATTCTATGTATAAAAAGATAAAGAAAAGAGATTACCTGTGCAGGGGTTGCTTCGGAAGCACACTTTTCTTGGGGACAACATATATTTTGTACATTTCCATCTTTGATTCTTACCTCGAGGTAACCACTTATACAGTCGTTACAAAATACATGAGAGCATGGTAAGAACTGTGTACAATGTTCTCCTATTTTATCCACAAAACATACCTTACAAGTATAAAAGTTCTTTTTGAATTCAATTTGATTGCATTTCTCGTCGTAATCGATTAATGCTTGAATGGGATTTCTCCCAACAGGACAATCTAAAACAGCTCGTTTGTCATAGCATTTGTGTAGATGATTCTTTTTCCCCAAATGTTTAACATTATGCTGTGTTTTCGTTTTGGTTTTTACATCATTGACAGTATGTTCTTTATCTATATCGTCTATTACCTTACTTTTCTGATTATTCTGGGCTTTCTCTAAAGCTTCTTTATAACGTGTATACACACAATTCATATTAGCACTCTTGTGTATATCCAAAAATTCTAAGGCCTGGTCTTGTATAAAGCTTACCCATGTAAATAAAATTTCTTGTCCTTTGTTTTCTTCCCATAGTTCATCCAACTTTATACATAAGTCAGCTAACAATGGGATACGTAACCAAGACGAATATAAAGTAAATTTTGGTGGTGACGTGGAAGGATAATCCTTTGGTAAAATAATGTTTAGTGTCAAAGGTGGCAAATGAGATATGGCGATCTTTTGCCAAGGTTCTTCCAATTGTCTAGAATCTTTGTAAGTTATAAAGTAATTCATAGGAAGATTTAAGAATATCTTGAAACTGCATTGATAAACACCATTTTCCTCGCGATACAAAAACTCTTCAGCGTTATAAATACTTTCCAATGCAATGATCTCATCTTTTTGCTTTTCACTATCCATCAGCACGAAATGAGCAATCGATGATAGGAAAAATGCTAAAAAACACAAAACTTGATGGAAAATTCACTATGAATATAATTTTACATTCTATTATAAATATAATTTTCAATTATACGAAAAAATAAAGATTACATTTGACAGATTTAGGTTAGGTAGTCACGTAAAATAACTGAAACGCAGTACGTTTAATTTTCTAGCTGTAATTCACTAATATGATTAACGACGTCGAAAAATGACCATGTAAACACTTTGTCAACAGAATTATAAATTAACAGATGATACTTCAGAAATTATTTTACAATTACTAAGTTACCTCATTCCTGTTCTAGAAAAAATGTACGCATGTTTCGCGATCGAGAAACATATACATATATAAAGTTTAATAAATAAATTTAACGTTTGAACACTTTATAACTTTGTCTAGGATGAAAAATAAAGTAATCGAGGTACATATCGTAATCAAAACTGTCAAAGTTGTACATACCGAAAATCGAATGATTTTCCGTTCTTGAGTTGCGTGTTATAATCGTTCACACGCGTGATGTGTTCAAATTTTTTAAATAAAAGTCAAAGTCAAAGTATTATTTCGTTCGAGTGCTATTCAAAAAGACATGTCAGTGCGTTTGTGTTATCAATTGCAGAGAACGACAAATATTCGGTAGTATTAAGGCCACGTCGATCGTTCGTCTGCTTCTGCACGTATGTTTTGTTGTCATATATTTTCTAAATCGTTTTTTTGAAAATGTTTAACATAAAACACATCGACGATCCTTGGAAATCTCTTTTCCCGGTCGTAATTAATCTCACGATGTCGGTGGGTGCGTATTTTTTAACCGTACGGTTAATACCGGGAATAAAAGATATGTTTATTAAAGCTAACCTATATGGGATCGATATGAACAAAAATAGTGGTGAAAAAGTGTAAGTGACATTTTGAATCATGATAATTAGCTGTGCTACATTTTTCTTCAATGGACAGCACACAGGTAACTTGTACTTTCAAATTCTTTTCCAGACCAGAGGCATTAGGTGTTGTCAGCGGATGCCTCTTTCTTATAACGCTCTTTCTGTTCATTCCTATACCATTTACAAATTACATATTCAATGATATAAACTTCCCTCATAACGAGGTATGCAACGAATGATCAATGACATAAGAATTGATATTAATATTAGATAAGTTAATTACGAATAGTCTTGCGAATAGGATGAGATAATATGATAAATTTGAATTACAGTTTATGGAATTTTTGGCTGCTCTACTTTCGATTTGTTGTATGCTACTTTTGGGTTTCGCTGATGATGTTCTGGATCTTCGTTGGCGGCACAAATTATTGCTACCTACTATTGCTTCCTTGCCACTTTTAATGGTGTACTACATTAATTTTAATTCTACGTTAATTATTGTGCCAAAGCCCTTAAGACATTGGTTTGGTTTCTCAGTGGACCTCTGGATATTCTACTATGTGTACATGGGAATGCTGGCAGTGTTCAGTACAAATGCTATAAATATACTGGCTGGCATAAATGGTTTAGAAGTTGGACAAAGTTTAGTAATTTCCATAAGCATTCTTGTTTTTAATATTATAGAATTATCGGGAGACCTTTGGAAAGCACATCAGTTCTCGTTATATTTTATGCTTCCATACATAGCTACTTCATTGGGTTTACTGAAATTTAATTGGTAAGTTCTACATAAGTTCTGGGTATGAAAACATACATGATACATAAAGGATATGTTCAAATAAAAAGAACAATACTAGATTCTTGGTTTCTTTGTAACTTATACGTATAAATCATTTAATATTCACAATTCAATCAACATATTATTTTGGTATATAAATTCAGTACAGTATTGTATAGTTTACATTGAGTATCGAGTATGAGTTAATATCACAGTCGGGTGCGATCAGTATGTCAATAATAATCTAATTTAGCATAAAAATTCTCTACTAGCCAGTCATACTTCCACGTATTATTAAGTATTGTTTCAGGCGCAAAATAGAGGTCCCGAGATTTAGAGACTCTTAGGAGATTAGTTTTCCCATCTAACCACAGTCCACTTCCTATTAGGTCCTCGATGAATGGTACGTCGATAGTTTTCTCTATTTGAATTTCTTTGGATTTAACTTTATTACGTAGACTAGTTATAATATTTGCCGGTGCCTGGCATAGATAACAATACCATCCTCCATAATGATTCAAGTCTCCTATCACTAGGCCTAGACTATCTCTTTCGCTTAAATCTCCTTCCAGTTGTTGCAAAGTGATGGAATTCGATCGATAAGCTTCGCGCATTAATCCAATTGTACACGCACCAACTGTTATCGTTGTTTTGAGCGGATGTTGCCAAAAGAATCCGTATACGGACCATCTTAATCTAAAACCGATAGGCTGTGGCCATCCATTGTATACCTTGAGGAACATTAATGCCCTTGAGTTTAATATTTGTTCCGATTCAGTTGTTACATAAATATCGTCGTCCCTTAGATTTCGTACTACAGTCTTTACTTTCTCCCAGACGTACGTAGACACTACCCTTAACGGCTTATGCACCTTTGTTGCTATATTAATATATAAAATCTTGTTCTGTTCCTGTTGCAATAAACCCTTAAGTAGCTTATGATGAAAATTATCCTCCGCGTTACTGAAATCACAGATTACAAAAAGATCAACTACGTTGTATAGTTCTTCTACTATCACCTCCGCGATTGCTGAATTGTATTCATTCAGATAAAACGTATAAATAATGCGTCTAGCTATTTTCCGATGTTTCAGTTTAATATTCTGCTTCGATGCCATAATTGCTCTCCAGACAACTTCCGGTTGACCGCAGTCGGAGCCGTGCCATCCTTGAGTGCAAATGCATTTTTGAAGATCTTCTCTACCTCTCATTTTCTGATTATCCACTCCATATTTCCAACAAACGGTACGATTGTATGTGTCGAATAGCGCAAAAGTCTTTACATCTTTCAGTACTACCTCCCCATTGATTGTCTGGTAGATGGGAAATTTTTTACGATTGTTCTGTTGAATTTGAGACTCCTATAACACAGCAATACACGTGAATATATTAATTGAGGTAGAAGCAAGAAATAAAACTTTTCAAATAGTATTCGATACATTGTAAAAATCTTACCTGTGCACCTTCAAATTTTACGAACGTGACAGAAGTATGAGTTGTAGATATAGTTAATTCGGAAGGTGGAGTTGTAGCAATGTAAATTATAACGATAAGAACTTGTAAGACTAATAGTGTATAAAGCAAGGCCAGTTTCCCATCTAGGCGGGGCTGCATCGCACTACCTTCTTCGTTTTAGTTCGTCAGTCGCTCATTTTATATCTCATAAAAATTTTACTTCGATCGTAACATTTTTGTTACGCGAGAGGCCCACCCAAAAGTGTGTGTATAATCGATGTACACGTCTACGAAACGAAATTTCAACATGATGATGATACATCATACAGTGGTTTATTGAAATTCATGTTTACTGTTTTTTTTTTTTTTTTTTGTTTATTTATATATTAAACAAAGAGTTCAAGATAGAAAAAAAGGGTCTATTTGTCTTTCCAAATTTCAGATGTTAACCAACAAATAATTTCTTATAGAATTAATATTGTTTATATAATTTTGTAAACAAACTCACAATGTAGTCCGAGGCTAACGTTGATGTGAATGCCTTTGCGTCGTGACGTTTAAACCGTGACGTCACCGCTCCCTGGAGTGCCATTTAATTCTTAAATGGCCTCAATCGCTCGTTAACAACTTCCTCAGTAAACGAAACGAAGTCTTCCAGCCGACCTTCGATGCTTTGCTAATCGTAAGATTAGTTTCGACATAATGTCACGTATTCTCAACTCTCCGGAGCAAGGCTGATCTTATAGTCGGACATGTCCCTCCTATCCCATCAAGATCCTCTACCTTTCTTGGCTCGTCTTCCTGAGAACAGCGCGACGAGCTGAAAAACCACGCCCGAATGTTCTCCCACTAGTGGCGCAGCCAGGGTGGTGCAAGGGAACAATTGTACCCCTTGCTACTAATATCTACATATTTTAAACAAATTTTTTATATGTATACAAGAGCATTCAATTTGAAATAATCACGTTAAATAAACATTTGCTCTATCTTCTCTAATTATTTTTAAATTGTTTTACATGTATACAAGAGCATTCAATTTAAAACATTCAGGTTAAATCAACGTTTGCTCTATTTTCTTTAATTAAGTTTCATAGGTTGTCGATAAATACTGTGACTAATTCGTCTTTGTTAATTTTAGCCAATTTCTTTGGTAAATTTTGCTCATTGGGCCCCATGCAACCCCTTTTATCCAAACTTGTAGACAAGCACGCACGCGGCTCCTCCCAAATTGTTCTCAAGGCGCACACTTTTCATACGACCCTAACTTGTTTATTACGAGCGTCGTAATTCTCATTAAATATGAGTAATATTGGGGAGATAACCGCGTGAATCATTGATTCGCCAAATATAGAGCGTATTGTAAATTTGTAAAGAAAAAAATGAAATTCTTTTTGTTCAAGGTATCCAGCGCGGGTATTTGTAGGTGACACGTTTTGTTATTTATCTGGAATGACATTTGCCGTTGTTGGTATTATCGGACACTTTAGCAAGACAACTCTGCTATTTTTCATTCCACAAATAATTAATTTCCTTTATAGCGTACCACAATTATTTCACTTTATACCATGTCCTAGGCACAGATTACCAAAGTAAGCGTTGCAGGTCATTTTCGCGGTCATTTTCCAAGTTGATGTTCAAATCAACTACACTCACGCGTACATTCATTTGCAGATACAATAAAAAAACGGACAAATTGGAAATCAGCCGTACAGTATTTAATAAAAAAGATATTAACGTGATCGGTACGAGAGTAGATTTTGGAAGTTTTGTATACTTATTAATTAGTATGTATTAAGTTTGTCTAATTCGAAACTTGAATAAAACTTTTTCTCAGGTAAACTTATAACATGGATATTTAGGAAATTATATATTGTGAATTGGCAGGAGGATGAAAAAGGTGTCGTTACTTGCAATAATTTCACTTTGATTAATTTCGTGCTGATTAAAACTGGTCCATTAAAAGAATCTACACTCACGTGCATCTTATTGTCAATTCAGGTAAGGGTTTAAGAATTGTTGAATAATGCAGAGAGTGGTAGGCTCTGGTGATGCCTTGTGCAAGGCTTTTGTTATGTTATTAAAAAGTCATTAATGTTGTAGATTATTTGCAGTTTATTAGCATTTGTAATAAGGTACCCTCTTGCTTCATTCTTCTACGATGTTTGAAAAGGCACATATTTAAAAACGGGGTATATATAGCGTCGTATAAAACTGCATCACTTGTTTCATAATGAAATTATATATCGTTTACCAAATATCTTTTATATAACAATTTTTAGTACATGTACAAGTACTTTCAAGATATTGTATTTATTATTAATTGTAATTGTACATTTAATAATCATTGTAAACGGTGTAAATATCATTGTACTTTTCTCAGGAAATAAATATGCTCCTTTCCAGTTTGTTAATCACATTGGCCTACAGTCATAGATGTTATAAAGCAGTAGGAATCAGGTTGTAATACAACAAAATAAAATGTATATCATTTAAAAAATAATATAACAGTAACATTAATATTTATATGTAAGAATTTTACATATTCTGATTAAAAATGTTTTATATACAAAGTAATATAAAATACAGTTTCAGACTCACAGTTACAACTATTAATAAACTATTACAAAGTGTAATTACTTGTTTCTTTTTTAAGTCTCTGCGTTTGAAAATATTTATGCACTTCTTGCATCGTATACTTTCTTAAATGTGACAAATAATTTTAAGCGCGCTTAAATAATCTAAATGTATTTAACATGATAATTTACAACACAGATAAATAATAAATGTTGTAAGTAGGAATTTCACGAATAATTAAATTGATAACAAATGCCATATCTGTGTAAAACCTTACATCTAATTAGAACAAACTAAATATTAAGTAAATGCAGTTTTTAAAAGTTGCTTCAGCTAAATTTATCAAAAAAAAAAAGAAATACTGAGACGAAATAGTCGTAAGATAACGGCAATTAGTTTCAAATGTATACTTCTAATTTAGCCAAACGTTAGCACACGTGTGAAAACAATTATCCAGCGTGACATCTTGAAATTTCTATTAAAATCTTGTATAAAATTACGTTTACAGGCCATATCATAGATATGAAACTTCATTTTTTAATTCTGGTAACCATGCGTATCCTTTATTTAAAATTTCAACTTCAATCAATGCAGTTTTACGAAAATTTATTTTATGAAACACCTCGTAAATTTAATAGCATATCCGCCCCTAGTTTATCCTTTAATGTAAGCTGCGTTTTCGCGGCATATCTTAGACTGAATATATGTACAAGCTCCGAGGTGGTGCGACTTAGCGCTAAGGCTTTATCAAATAATGCTGTTGCTTCTTCAAGATTTCCTCTGTGAACAAAAAAATGAAACTCACAATTAGTCCATTTTTGAATAAATTTATATATTAAGACCATCGACTTACCTCTGAACTTCAATCGTTGCTAAGGTTTCTAACCCAAATTCACATTTATCATCTAATTCTATAGCTTTGTTAATATATTCGAGGGCTTTATCGATATCGCCATTCCATTTCAATTGTAGCAAACCTCTATGTACATAGGTCGTAGCATTATTTGGATCTTTCTCCACTGCCTTAGCAAAGTAAGTATCCGCTTTTTCAAATTCTTGGGATTCTGATAATACCTGCATCGTGGAATAATGTATTAAAATGTACAATTATTGAAATATCTATTTTAATCAAATTCTGCGTGTAATAATTGTTTATACCTGTGCATACATAATGTAACAATCAGGGCAGTCAGGGAATTTTTCAAAAGCCATTTCAAAACCTTGCATGGCTTTTCCTACTATGTCCATGTCTCTCTTGATCATGCCATAATGATAGTCTGCATAGCATTTTTGTACATATCCTACTCCAAAGTTTGGATTGAGATCAACAGCTTTCCTTAAGTCTTCTTTGGCTTCATCGATTTTTTCCATAAGTAAATTTACCTGCCATTGTATCATGGTTTTGTAGAAATTATTTCTAAATTTCAGAAAATTGTATACGTAATTGGTACCTGGGCTTTGTGCGAATAAATATCGCTACAATCAGGATCAAGATTAGCAGCCATTTCAAAATCATGGAAACTCTTCTCTGGAGTTTCTAGTTGCATGTATAAAGTAGCTCTTTTAACTAAAGCATTTACTTTTATATTTTTCTTAATATCATCGCTATTTATAATTGTTTCAAAGTCTTCTATCGCGGCGTCATGATTCCCTTGTAAAAGATAAAATGTAGCCCGTAAAAGTAATGCTTCCATTTTGTGTGGCAATGCATCTGGCTCGGAACTATTAATTTCTTCTGTACAAAGTGGTATCACATCGTCATATTTCTGATCCTTTACACATTTTAAAATTTTTGCGAAATTTCTGCGAATTAAATGATTACAAGAGTAATAAACAAATAATTATTATAAATTTAAGAATAACATAGAAAAATAATACAAATTTTGAAATCCTTACAGAGATATATTACTGTTGTCTTCATCTTGAAGCATCATGAAAACAGGATCCTTATGGAAACTATTGATATAATGTTTAATAAAATGTTTACTAGGCATAGAGTACTTCTTGGTTTTCATGTATTCCATTGCACGCTGTCTACCTGAAAAAAAGTTTCATGTCCATACCTATACTATTATTTTGCATTTACTTAAATCGATAAAAACTAGAGAATTATACCTAATCGTTTCAAGACCCTGTCTGCCATTTCCAATGCCATTCGATCAGAAAAGCCTCCCAAAATACAAGCAGCTGTAACATCTTCTAAAGCTGCCTCTAGTTCACAGCATTGTTCCAATGCTCGTGCTCTACGTAATAATGCTTTTGTATACCTCGGTTTTAATTCTAAAGCTTTTGTACAATCTAATTTTACTACATTGTACTCTTTCTGTAACATATAAATAGATTCAAATTATAGAAGTCCAATCATATTATAAAACATTGTTATTACAGAGATTATATTAACTACAAAAACAATATTACCAGTTGTTCATAGGCAGCAGCTCTATTTTGATAAAAAGTAGCAAGAGCATCGGTGTTTTCTTTAGGACAGGCGTAGATCGCATCGTTGTATAGCTTTATTGCTTCGTTGTACTTCCCAAGTTTGAAAAGATTGTTTCCCTCATTTTTTAATCTCTGAGCTTTCTCCAATAATGTCTATGATATAACACATATCCGCGTTTGATACGTACAATTTTTGCAATGCAACGAATTATAAACAAATGGCGGTGTTACTTTTGAATCGTTTTCGGATTCTAATCCATTGTAACAACGTAACATTTAAAAAGAACAAAAAGGTAAATTACAGAATAGCTACTTCGAAAATATCTAGAGGTTGTATTACAACTACTTTACACTACCGGCTAATCGTATAGGAACGTAATCAAAATATTTCTTACCTCGCTTTCCAAGTCAGTCGCGTTCTTCGGCGGACAATCACCGTCGATCGAGATCTGTTTGTCAGCAGACGACGTGCCGTTTTCCTTTGAATTGGTTTTTGATTTACCTCGATTGGACTTGGACGACGGTTTACTGCTATTCTTGTAATACATGTAACCGAGGCCTAACGCAACCGGCGCTCCAACAGCCAGAGCGAGTTGCCATTTTGGTAGCGCACCACCGGTCATGCTGCCTGCGCTACTTGCACCCGTCATTTTTCGCGAGTTCTTCTCTGTTTACGGGTGACACGAGCTACGTTCTCTTTGCGGTCTTCCTCAAATCTCATCGACACGGGATCAAACAATGAGAACTAATGTGAAGTCTAGCGAGTACGCGAACATATCACCGCGACTACCAGCAGCTACTTACATCAACTTCCTTACCATTGCAGACGAATCCCCCTGAAGCACCCTGAAGTAGTGAATGTGTTCAGTCTTTAGTACGCATTTCCACCGTCACGTGTGATAAGGCTTTATCGATTGTCACGAGGTAGTTAGTGAACATAGTTAAGGGTGCGCAGGAGTCAGAACAGAATTCCGAATTGACTTCAGCGACAGTTGCGGAAAAAGTAGGAAACTCCGGGACAAGGACAGAGAGAGCGATACAACAATTGCAGGAGAGTCGAGGACAGGGCGATTAGGCTGGCATGATTTTTTTCCAAGATATTGAAGCAAAGAAGCAATATTTTCTAATAATTCTTGTTTTAATATATTCGTTACACTTTGGCGGATGCGACTCCAAGGCCTGATTTTGCAATTTCGGCCTTAAAACTTTATAAACAATAAAATGAAGATAGCAAACATACTTTTATTGCTCTTTTAGTCCTCTAGGTACCTAGAGAACCACAGAAATAGAATACTCTTATAGAGGCAAAACTCACGAGTTTTTCAGCTCCCAATTCTTAGCGCGCATGTGCAATACCAACTACGAAAAGTACTCGTATCAATTTATGTATTATTTCAATTATCACAAGTTTCGAAATCTTAGGTATCTCGATATCCGCCACCCGAAGATTTTACCCGATACGCTGTCATAATATTTACTTTAAATCTTTGGTGAGAATGTGTTTATTAAATGTGTTAACATAGAAGAACTAATAGGCACTTGTGCCATTTAATATTGGCGCCTTTTTTTCGACGCATGCTCGAAACTTTCACTGAAAGATGGCAACGGTCTGTCAACAGGAGCGGAGTATTGTCCACGGCGATATCTATAGATCATCGAATTTCAAAGAGAACGCAAAGCGCGAGAAATGTCATGAAGGCGATGAAATTTGTGAAAGAATGCTAAGTGATCGAAAACGTTTGCTACACTGTAGGGAATTGTAATGTACATGTAACATTCGTTATTTAACACATCTCGATAAGAGTGTGACGTTTACCAAAATGGCACTACAAGAAGACGAAAACACCTGGTGAGCTGATTTAAAAATTCTGTCGCATATTTTAAACGATATCATCTTTGCAACGAAAACGAATCTTAATCATTTATTCCATTGATACTCCATTTTGAATAGTATTCTCCTAATCTAAATTTAGCTTTTCCGTGACACTGTTCATTGTCGGTTTCCACGAATATTAGAAAATATTAGCATATTAATAAGAAGCGAACGTGCATACTACTCTGTGCCAGTTCTACGTATCGTCTTGTTTCTAAAAATGTTTTCTTAATCTTTTCTTGGTTAGCAAAACATACAAGTGACGTTTTCTAAGGAGCAATATTTGTTTTAAGCTTGACGTGTTTACAGGTGTTTGTTAATTACCTTATGCAAATACTGTACAGTACGTCAATATAGAATAACCGATAAATTGATTTAACTTATACAACAATGTTAACAGACTATAGAACAAAATTAATAAATAAGTGCAGGTTCATAAGTATATATGTCATTATAAGAAATTATTTGAATTAGGGTTTTGGAGCTGGAAGCAGCTCTCTTGGATACCGAGCCACCATCCGCATCTGATGTATATGCAATTTGCAAAGGACGATCAGTTCCTACAAATTTAAGGCCTGATGTATGGCAGGCTTGTTTAGATGTTATCGATCGGGGCAATCAGTTGAATCACTTCAATGAAGTTTTCGATTTATCAGAACAAAATATTATTCGTGACGATTGTCAACAATTAGTTGGTAAGTTCAAATACTTTATGATAATCCAACTTGTCTTAAGAAGCAAAAATAAAAAATAAAGAACTAACTATAAGTGTGAAACATGCTATGTTTGCTCAAAATGATTAATGTATGCATATAGACACCATTCTTATCTCTTCAATGTGACACAGCTTTAAGCTTATCTTGTTTGAATAATCTATATTTCAAAATCAGTTATCACATCATATTCCATAGTTTGTTAGTTAAATTGAAACAAAATATATTGTAATCTACATATTTATAAGTGCCCATAAAACAATGTAATTGTAATATGTTTATTGCAGCAAAGTTAGGGAACGATGACGAGGATAAAGTTTCCGTTGTTTCCGATTTAGAGTCTATTTTAACATTTTATTGTAAAAGTAAGGAGAAGCAATATAAAAGAGGAAATGGATGGATAGAATTGTTGGGTCCTTTAATAGCTTTAAAGCTTCCACGTAGTGCAACATATAACTTATTTGAAGCGATAATAGATATTTATATTCCTAGGTACAGTATTTCATGCTTAAAATTACTTTGTTAGAAACAAGTATTTTGATATTAAAGGGTGTTTAAAACAGTTATTTCGTTTGTATGTTTCTAGGGGCGAAACGTATAGTTCTGTATTAAGATTGTTATTACTTTATCACGAACCAGAATTATGTTCTTTCTTGGATACAAAAAGGGTATCTCCCGATCAATACACAAAGGGATGGGTAACTACTCTTTTCGCGGGTGTGTGTTCGCTACCAGCTGTTTGTACGATGTGGGATTTATATTTCATGCAAGCTGATCCATTTTTTATGCTATTTTTGTCTCTTATCATGGTTATTAATGCCAGGTGAGAATTATAAAATTTATGCATGTACATTTTACTTTTATTGATATATTATTTTCATAAAATTTTTTTGCTGTTCATACAGAGAGCAAATTTTAAGTATGAAGGATAACGATAAGCAAAGTATAATCGATGCAATAGCTGCTATGCCTTGTGCTTTAGAAGCAGAAGATGTAACAGACTTTTGCTCATTAGCACAATATTACGCAATGAAGACACCATCATCTTTTAAGCAGGACTTAGATCCTATTATGTTTGGGGAAAGTTTCGATGAAAAATATATATCGCACGCGCTCTGCCTGCCCGTTTCAGCTCAAGAATTAGTTGAAAATTCTATCGAAGCTCCGTCCATACCCAGCACCTCCGTTGAATCTGTTAGATTTTTTCTTGTGGATTGTAGACCTGCAGAACAATATAATGCCGGACATTTGCCAACCGCGTTTCATCTGGATTGTAATTTGGTATGCTTCTTGTTGAATTCCTTTGTTTATGAATTTTAAATTTATACTATTTAAGAATGAAATTTCAGATGCTTCAAGAACCTGCTGCTTTTGCAACAGCAGTGCAAGGATTGTTGCAAGCACAACGACAAGCGCTAGCTGTTGGATCGCAAGCTGGAGGTGAACATCTTTGTTTCTTAGGAAGCGGTAGGCAAGAAGAAGATCGTTACACTCATATGGTGGTTGCATCCTTTCTACAAAAACATACCCAATACGTTAGCATGGTTACATCAGGCTATCAAGGTAACATAAAGTCGCTCGCGACATTGCTAAATTAATATAAATCAATTGTTTCATTCGTAACGATATATTTTAATTTCATTTTAGCTATACACGAATACTTTGGTGATGAAGTCGTTTCTAGTCTCGTTGATCATAATTCACAACATTGTTTGGTATGCAATGCTAATATATCCGAAGCAAATTCTAACGAAACGAGTCCTGCCAAAGTCAAGAATAACAATTCTGACTTCTTGGGGAAGATTAAGAAAGTCAAAGGAAAGTTATTTGATTATATCGTTAATCCATCAGCAAGTGTTCATAATAACGTGGAGAATAGAAATGGCAAAGATACCGAGTATATTAAACGGCAAAAGAAAACTGGTCCTGTATTTAGCATAGACGACGATCAAGAATTAGGTACATTTTACTACATGTTACACATATATTTGTTTATAATTTATGCTATATAATAATATATTGCACGCGCATTATGCATTGCAGATATGACTATGACAAATAATGAAACCGAAGAACCAGTTGAAGTAGTATCTATTCAACAGTGGATGAAGGATCCAAAGTTATTACATTCCTTTAAATGTCAAGAAGTGAAAGTTAACGGAGATCTCTGTGATAGGTGAATGTTTTAGTAAAATTAAAACATATTAAATCGAAGTAAACAAAAGAAAAAGTTTGACGTTATTAGTTAACTTTTTATATAATCATTTCGTTTTCAGTATACTTTTGGTTACCGATACTCACCTTATCGTGCTCCGGGAAATACCAGAAAGAAAAGGCGCAGCACACGTAATTGTCAAACGTCCATTAACAAGTATTGTTAAAATAACATCTAAAAAGCAACATTCAGATTTGATCACATTTAAATACGGTACAACACAATATTACGATACAGTTATTTCCGATATGGATAAGTTTCTTATTCCTAACGCAAGCGAGGCTACCAAATTGATTTCGCAACAGATTATGGTACAATTGGAAACGTTAAATTCAAGTTAAAGAATTTTATAACGCTGTCCACAACAGTTTATCTATGATGTACAGGTGCGGTAAGATTCAATTTATTTTAGAAGAATGTTCTCGAGCAAACGTAAGAATAGACATTTGTTTATTCGTTTGATCGTTGATAATGTTCTTAATTAAATGGTACTACAAACACAACGTGTAATATTAAGATAATAAAAGGAATAGTCCATAGAAAAAAGTTCTAAAAGTAATTCGAGCGTTTTATATATAGAACTAATTAACACGATGTCATCAATGATAATACGGCCAAACATGATTCATAGTTGAATTTTAAGATTTTTAATGGTAATTTTACTAAGCTGTTACTTTCACAAATTACATTTACGCTTGCAGTTTTTTCATGCACTTTTTTAAGTTTCTAAAAACATACGATTTCTATGAAGTGCATTTTTAGCATTTCTTTTCTCTAACGATGCCATAACATGTGTTAACAATTCTGAACTCAGTTTTTGTTTTACATGTGGCTAAACGGTGGCCTTACTATAAAAAAGAATAGGAGAGATTATGGATTCTGCAAATTATTCATTAATATGAATATATACGATGGAATAGAATGTGCCATGAACTAAGAATATTAATAATGTCTCTACATAAATATGATTCGTGACGTGGTGTCGATTAACAATTTATTTTTTCTTTTACGGGTCATATAAAACTTTCAATCGCACGCTATCATAGCGTTCTCGGAATACATGAATACATAATATCTATGTACACGTTATAACGAACTGATAATTGGTCCTAATGTAATACGATTCGAGAACCATTATAATGTAAATGATTATAAACTTGCATTTTATAGTATATAATATTGCAATACATGTCTTTATAAAATATTTACAAAAGGTACAAAATACATTGAAAAATAAACGATATCATCTCTTTACAGGCATACCTATTACACTGCCTGATTATATTTCGAGGAATTTTTAAAGTTTACGATTTACGATCTTTCGAAAATATATCTATAATTCGTAAAGAAAATCTGTCACAATTAAAATATTCCTATCTTTCTCCGACATGTATATTTGAACAATTACATGGTACAATTCTTTTTCTATTACCCACTAGAAATATACTAGTATTAGATGAACGAAAAAATTGATGTCGTAATGAATTCTCGTGCACACGGTTGCACTGCCTTTTTGTAATTTTGGAACAATACTAATCGCAACAGCAGTTTATTTGCGTAGAAATTGCCGATAGATATGTTTACACGGTTGTGATTTCGTTGTTACAGAGTCCAAGGGTATTATTTTTAATGTACATCAACCGTTATTCTGTGTTTCAAGTTTTGAATAAATAGTTTGAAATATGTATTTAACAAACCTATGGAAATCTTAAATCTTGTAGATATTACCAACATTGTTAATAATTGTAACAATAGTAAAGTGTAATATATTTCATGATATGTATAACGAATTTTGTGTATAATAGAAATTTTCTATTTATGTGCTTCCACAATGAGTGATGAACGTAAATAGTGGAATCATCGTCGACTAAAGAAACTTATTAGAATTTAAAAAAAAAAAGTTTTTATTTGTATGTAAATAAATTTTATGTAATACATTACGAATGCGTTTAAATATGTATTTTTAAGAGATTGTAAAATAAACTATATAATTATACCTATTGACAAATACTATCAAAAATAATAACATCGTTCAGAGTTACTTAAAGAGATGAAATTCTTAAAAGGATGGTAATTATACTTAAATTGTACGAATAAAAGATTCTGTGAAAACATTTCAATGTTATATTTCACATTTTTTATATGATTTATTGTTCTTATTAGGAAATTTATTTCATTAATCATGATGTAACAAATAGTCATTGTAATACTATCTTAAGAGTAAGTTAAAGTCCTGTAGTGTTTTTTTTGTTCATACTTATAGTTTGATGCATAAATAAATATGAAAATACCACAAGTAAACATTGAATATTGATATTTGATCAGTACTACATAAATACAATAAGTCACGCTCGTCGCCTATGCACCGAATACATTTATACATATATTCAATACTTGTATTGCAATTTGAATATGGCTATTATTGATATTAACATAATTTTCCCTACATAATTAATTATTTAACATGTCACGCATTGTTTAATTCCTTTATCGTGGCTCATGATATCAGTTGATATCAGTTCATATCAAGCGGTTCGTGTGGGATGTAACCGTCGTTATACAACCTTCGTTGCTGCACGAATGTAAACGTTTTTAATATAATAAGAGTAAAATAACAGTATTCGCGATGGGATCCATCAATTGGGGGGAGTTATTTCCAGGAAGATGGAGTCCCGTCATTTTTATTTCGTACATGGCCCTATTCGTAAACCAAGGTACACATGTGTTGGTTAAGTTCTTTATGTTTATAATTTTGCCACGTAATACACTGACCGGTAACTGACAAGCGATAGAATGCAAATAACGATAAACGATAACAATTAGGAGGGTGGGAAAAAAATGAATATTCAAATGAATATTATTATCACTAACGGAAGCATGCGTTTTTTTTACCGGTTTCATTTGATTTTTATTTTGTACGTCAGTGTTCCATTTTTTTCAAATTCAATAATTTATTTTATGCGAAATATACTGAAAGATTATTTTTATTCTAGGTATTATTGTCACTTGGTCTCAAAAAAATGGCCATTACGAATATAATATTGTTATGGTGGTGTTGATGACAGAAGTATTGAAGTTGATTGCTTCTATAATCTTGTACTGTAAAGAGTAAGTACAATCTGTGCACTTTACGTTTGATTATGGCGAGTTTCATATATGTATATCCTAACATTTCTTTTCACTTTTAGCAATAGCTTTGGAAATCTTTGCCAAGAAATAACTGGAAATAAAAGGGGTGAGTAGATATTTTCTAAAGAATTAAAACTGAAGAGATTGTGTTAGTTAGATTAGATCTATATTTGAATTCAATTTACGAATTTAACTTCAAGCTGCATGTACATTTTATAGGTTCTCCAACAGTTGTAATCATGTTGATATGAAACATAAACAAAGTGCAAGATAAGATAAATCGATATTTATGTTCTACAGCATTTTTGTCATTTATCTTAATATCTAACTATATTTTAATTATTATACTAATAAGAGTTAATCAATCTTTTCAGATAACAATTTATTATTTTACACAAATTTAATTTTAGTAAGGTATCAATAAACTGAACATTGTCGCGACTGATATTTTCTTATTCTAGTACTACTACTGTATACGATACCTTCATTTTTATATTGTCTGTACAATAATCTGGCATTTATCAACTTGGCTGCATTTGATCCGACAACTTATTATGTTTTATTACAATTTCGTGTTGTTATGACTGGAATTATTTTCCAGGTAGATAACAGTTTTCTTATGGCTTACATTGAAATGAAAAAAACATCTTCTGAAATGTTACTCTTTTTAGGTCGTTTTTAATAAAAAATTATCCTTAAAGCAATGGTTTTCACTAATAATATTAACCATTGGATGTATGGTAAAACATGTAGATTTCGATTTTAGCATGAATATATTTAATGCCAAAGTTCATTTAAATAGTAACATATTTCTTATATTTGTTCAGGTGAGTTTGATGGTATCAGTTATAAGGAACTGCAAACATAGATTAAAATTGAACATTAACATTTGAATACTTTCAGACAATTTGCTCCTGTCTGGCTGGTGTATACAATGAATATCTGCTTAAAGAACAAGGAGCTAATATCAATATTTTTGTACAAAACGTATTTATGTACATTGATAGTATTTTTTGTAATCTTATCGTTTTTGTAATACTTTTTCTCTCAGAGAGTAGCCCATCTGATATGTTTGATAATGCAGATCCCAGTATACTTTTCCAACCAAAAGTCATTATAATTATGCTAAATAATACAGCAATAGGTATAATTACAAGTTTTTTCTTGAAAAATTTGAACTCAATATTAAAGACTTTTGCTAGTGCACTGGAGCTGGTGTTTACTGCAGTTTTGTGTTGGTTAATATTCAGTATTCCTATTCACATGAACACAGTATTCTCAATTGCTATGGTGAGCTATGCAGTGATATTATATTCACAAAATCCAGTACAAAATGTTCGAACTAAAGATCATACTCTCCTGAAGGCTGATAGTATAGTTTAGTGGAACCAAGTTAAATGAACTTTTGTTAAGTATTGTGTACATAACTGTAAAAGTATTTTGCCCGATGCAGATCTGTTATTTATATCTTCATTGATCCTGTGTTTATTATTGCATAGTTCCTAATGTGATGTTATATGTTGTGGACGAAACCATAAAACTGTGTTCAGTCTTAAACTTATTTTTCCAGAATAGGTTCCAAACAGAGGACGTCCCTTATAGTTATATCATACGAATTTTAAATGTTACTTAATAATATATGCAATAATCTTAATATAAGTACATTCACATAATGCTGTACTTTACGATTCATATATAATGTTACAAACTATAACTCATTTGTTTTTAAATATGTATAGGTAGTGCAAAGTTTATTTATACTTATTATTATTCATAATTTCGTTAAATAGTATTTTATCGACTTGGAAACACGATTTCGAAGTTACATATATTTTTTTATTTGTTAGAAAGAGTATTTTGACTGTGAAATACGAAGAATGCTTTAATATGCATAATAAGTAATTAAACAGGTGTGAATGTTGTGTGCCATATATAATAAAAAAAAAAAGGAAAATGTAATTAGGCAGTATGTCCATATTTGAACTGTTTTCCTATTGTATTTTTGAAAAATATACACGTGTTTTTTTCCCGAAGTTGTTGTATATTTATGTATGTATATATGCCATGACATGAACAATAAATAGTGAGGCAATTTCTTGTTCTATTCCGTTGTTTAAAACGTTTTCAACGGTTCGTTGTCGGTAAAGATATTTTTGTTCGTACATACGGGTGCATCGTTAGGATAAATACTTTAAAAACAACACCTTACGATAATTTCTATTTGTACATGTATGGAAGTCACATATCTGATAACGAATAACTGTAATTAATTCACACGGATATAATAGAAAAATAAGCATTGTTATTATAAATTCATTAACGTTTCTGTTCAATGTAGGAACGCAAGTACAAATTAGGAATTTGTATTGGCGGGATAATTTGAATTTCGATCAAATGATTTCGACTGCTTTACGAACGGATCTATTTGCGACTTCTGGTCTTGTTTACATTTATCGAAGCACTTTGTTTTTGCAATAACACTGACGATTAGAATTAGAATACACGTACCTGTGCAAAAGCATTTCTGGAGAAGTGGGGAGAGGGTGGTCGATATTACCCGCAAAACCACCTTGCTTCAAGAATCGAGTGGCGGCAGTCACATGTCGGCCGTAGTCGGGTGAGTTTCTCGTTTGATGATTGCTTCGATCACAGAGTAGAGTACTCTGTGATATTAATTGTCGCGTCGTTTGTCATAAGATGTGGTTGAGTTAAATAAAAAAAATGTGCACGACACAGTGGCAATAAACGTGGAAACTGTGACATGTGCATCGCTACAGTAACAACATCACGTCTTCCTTGTGCATGACACGAGTAAGTCAACTACGTATTTTTCTATGTTGGAATATGTTTAGTAACTAAAACCTTATCAAAACAGCATACCAATGAAACTCGAGGAAATAGCCTGTACACTCTTTGCGTCTAGGTAGTCGTAACAATTTAGTGAATCTGATTCTTTTAAATCATCAACTTAACATAAAATTTATCAACATAAAATTGTTTAACATTATTTAGAAATACGTCAACGAATAATAGTGTAAGTGCACCTCATTGTTGTATCGCAAATTTCGTTTTTGTAAGCGAGTTTAGACAATGGTGCTGAGTTACATGAATGTAACGACTTGCGATCACGTGATAAATAAATTAACCATACATTTTTGAAAAAGGCGCCAAATAAACAACAAAATTATAGCATAGTTATACTTTCTTTTCTGTTAGTGCAAAGTTCTATTTCAATATTGCTAATTCAATGGTGAATTAATCCTTTTTAGAATTAATTGGCTACTAAAACCCAGCTTTTGTAATTAAAGCACCGTTCTTAAAGTTCACGAAAAACGAAAAAAGTTACGCAAAAATTGATCATAGACACGAGGCAATTCCGTAAGGAATGTCGATTGGAGATTCAAGGGTAAAGGGATGATTCATAATTATCGTTGACATTGAACGTTGTTTTTGTGTAACTACGTTACTAGAAAGAGCTTGCAACTTAGACTTTCAAGAAGAAAATTTCTTACATTGATTTATATAGGGTGTCCCAAAAATGTTGTAACACCTTGAAAAGGGTGGTTCGGGAGGTGATTTGAAACAACTTTTTCCTTAGCGAAAATGTTGTAGGCGGCTTCGTTGAAGAGATATTAACGGAAGACACTGACCAATCAGAGAGCGTATACCGTTGGAGCGGCCGCGGTAGCCTATGAGCGCGGCCGCCTATCGCGTAGCCTACGCTCCACCGGCATACTCGCGCTCTGATTGGTCAGTGTTTTCCGTTAATATCTCTTCAACGAAGCCTCCTACAACATTTTCGCTAAGGAAAAAGTTGTTTCAAATCACCTCCCGAATCACCTCTTCCAAGGACCTCCAACATTTTCGGTACATTCTGTATTAATGTAGATTGACGTCAATTTCATCCCTTAATAAACAAACAATATTCTCTTTTAATTGGAAGAAATTTTACAATAATTTTCGAGTCTGTCTTAGAGAAAGCAGTAGGTACTTGTAGGAGGAAAAAAGTTCACGCTCGATCGAGTTAAGTACAATGAATAAGTATTCACCCTTATGCGGCCTCGTAAGAGGACAACCCCTTCTGGACTTTCCAGACACACGCACGTTTTCTTTGGATTATGCAATCGCCTCTCGTGTGTACTACTTTTATGCAGGGTTCGTGTCGCGAGATTCGATGATAAACTTCGCGACTTCGCCTCGATTTGTTCCTTTTTTCTTCCACCCTCTTAAAAATATCTGCTCCCAAGCGAAAATTATACATTGAAACCTTCCAATGTTTTACGTTACAAACTTAATTCGTACGAGGATAATAATTATTCGACTTATTTTTTAATCTAAAACAGTATCGCACGCGTAGTGTGAATAATTGGTCTGATTCGAGGGAAGACGTTCCTACGTGCACAGAAGAAGTTTAAATTAATATTGAAACGCATTGCGTGACTAAATACTGAGATCGATTCTGCAACCGAAACCGGAAGTCGGGTGCTAATGTCAATCATTTCTTACTTTTGTACGTAGCATGCGCTGGAAGACGAAGAAATATCGTCGATCGATCAATACGGAAGTTGGAACTCAACGTTGGAAATTTCGATTTTGTTGTATTGTTCTTGACTGCGATTATTATAGTAGAAAAATGTTCTTACGTACTCGTTCGTCATGGTTGACGGGGGTTTATGCTGGCTGTATATACATATCTAATGAATCTGTCGATTAGGCTAATCCTCGCGTGACTCGATGAACGGCAAGGGACTAGGAAAGCGATTACCAAGGAAGATGGTGAAGGACCTACGGTTCCCGAGGGACGAGACGTAGGGTGGTATGTCCGAGTGCTTCGAGTATTCGTCATCTATGACAGGATCGACGAATGCGGGGCCTCTGCAGCCCCCGAAGGATTCCTCGCCCCTTCTTGGACGATCGTCGCCGTTCGATTTCTCCTCGACTCCTCTGAGGCCGTCTCGCCGAGGTCATCGTCACCGGCTCCATCGAAAGATGACATTGACCTCACCCAACGGCCAACCTGTACAGCTCACTCCTCTCTGGGAACACGTGGTTGGTATTTCTTATTTTCACATTAAACGAATAGAATATTGTTATTGCAGAGAACGAGTTCGACGAATGGATAGACGACGAGAACCCGAGGTGCGAAAGAAGAGTGTTTGGACTCTTTGAAGTGTGCCTAGAAGGAAGCGTATGGGATCCAGCGAATGTTTAGATTAAACGAGCGACGCCAGTTTGGGTATGAATGATAAGAGTGTGTGTAAGGGTAAAAGGAATGTACATGTGACTGGAAGAATGCAAGAGCTTTACTGACAAATTGCTAAAGTCAACAGTAAAGGCGTTATTTTAGTTTGTACATCCATACCGACGATAGTTTAATTGTAAACCTGCGGCACCATTGTAGCAACAGTAACGCCCATCGCCATTATTAAATGCAATCGTACAGTATCCTAAATAATTAACAAACTACTTAATAATTTCATTTATCGTCCAGGTGCGCACCAGGAAATTTCCAAGCGAGGTCGACACGCGTCTCACGTTCCTAGAGATATCGGAGAGACTGCGTGATCCGGAATGGGAGGTGCGTCAGCACGCTCTTCGCGTGCTCATAGACGTGCTGCCGACTTTGAACGCTGACATCGTGGACAAGGTCATGCAACCAGTGGTGCCGGAGCTGGTCAATAATTTGGGCCACCCGGCGCCGGCTGTTCGCAAGGGTGCTCTCGACGCTTTGCGGGTTTTTCTCATTCACAGCCGTGATAGGGAGAACACCATCAAGAACGTTAGTCTTATTCTTCCTTTTACACAGCTATCCAAAAGCAATAGAACAACCAGCGATTATGTCGTATAGAAATTAACGTTTTAAAGGATTAATATTTGGATCAGTTACCACGTTCGTGAACATGATTCAAACTGTTGACGCACGGAAACGCGTTGACCTTCCCTCCCCCACTATTCGATACACTTATCGACTGCGAAAGGGGTTTGCATCGATCGGTTATACTCTTTCTTACAGATTCTTCAGGATGGGTTGAACCGTTCCGAGGTGCGCGACTCCTTTCAAACGAACGTCACCACGGGAGTGATCCTGAGCGTTCCGTCTCTGCTGTTCCCTTCGTCCAGCAGCCCCTCTCCTAGCGAAAAGCTCGTGAAGGATGCAACAATTGCTCTGGCATCCAGACTGGCTCAGGTCAGTCTCGAGCAAATTGTAATGCATGATCATGGTTAATAATCGCTATTATTTTCTGTTAATCACATCTTATCAAACGTTTCAATTCTCAGGTCCCACACCAGGAGGCCGTGCTGAAGTCGTTGATGAAGATCCGCGACGCAGTGGGCGTTCAGGAGTTCGAGGACTACTTAAAAGACTACGACAACAAGTTAAAACGGAACATCGAAATCCTGTCTAAGATCTACAACGTCAAGTCCGCGAAGAAAGCGCACAAGAGGGCAGAGGTTGATGGTAAAAGCGTCGAGAAAGCGGAGTCTAAAGACCCAGACAGGAAGTGGGAGAGCGACAGCGACACGTCTGGTATCGCGGAAGAGGAAGACGAGGTGAATGGAGTTATGCCAGCGGCGAGGGTAGTGTTAGAGACTGAGATCAAGTTCAACGAAGAAACTGCCATCACGATGACCATCTTGGAGGAAAAGGAAGACAGCGAAAAGGAGCAGGACGACGAGAGCGGGACGGACGTGAGAAACGACGTGGAAGCCAAAGACTCTTCTCCCGACAGACGGAAGACTCCTAGAAGGGTGCATTTTGGAGGTGAAGTAGTCAAACTGAGAACTCCGGATAGCGACGAGACAGAGTCACTCGAGGCAACCCCTAAGACTAGGATTCCCCTTCCCGTTTCTCCAGCTACGAAAATGCCTAACACCGGGAGGAGACCGTCTTCTCAGCCTTGCAGTCCTCGCAGAGAGCCTGGGAAGCTAAGGAGAGCGTCCAGGTCCGTCTCCAGCAGCCCCAAGAGAGAAGTGTACACTCACAACGCGGACCTGAGTCCTAAGAAGAGTATCCTTTCGAGAACCAGCAGTCCAGTAGTTAGCAAGTCTGTGGAACAATCTAGGAAAAAGAGGAATTCGAGGGGACAGGAAGAGAAGAACGAGTTGAATAAGAATAATGAGAATTTGAGGGTCCTCGCGATTGTTGGGAGAATAGAAGAGGCGAAGAAGGAAGACGTTAAGCTGGTTCAAAGTGGCCAGAGCCTCGGGAGTTTGGCCTCCAACAATTCAATTAGTTTGGAGAATAAAGACGAGAAATTGGACGAAAGTACAGATAAAGTGGTTGAGACAGTCAGCAAAAGTGTTTCGATAGCAGATATGGAAAGCTTGATTGTAAAACAGTCAAATGTTCCGAAGAGGAGAGTCGAAGAGAGATTTGCTACCCTAGAAAATGATCAAAAAGTGGATTCACTGTTTGGTTCATTTGTGGAAGAGGAAACCGAGCCGAGTAATGCGAAGATAGATGAAGTCGATGACGAAGGCGATCGGTTATTCGCGAGGGACTCGAAGGCTGACGAAAAGGATGTTTCGGGTAGAGATGTTGAAAAGTTTAAAAGTGTTACGACGAAGGAGGGTAATGTCGGTGGCGAGTCGTTAGAAAACGCTGGCGGTGAACGAACGACGAAGCGTGATCGCGATAAGCGCGATGTGATTGAGAAAAATGGCAGTGCAGCTCATGGTATTGGAGACATGGCGGGTATATCGGAGGAATCTAGCTGGGAAGAGTTGGGGTTGGTCGACCAGGAAGTGCTGGAGGATCTGCATAACAAAGTGAGTAATACGATTCCTTTATTTTCTTCTGTAACTGTCGCAATACGCACAATGTAATCGTACTATACACGATATTCACAATACTTGCAGCATAACATTCACGCTACACGTAGTGTAACATGTGGGATACAATCGAGTCGGCTGTAGGACTATAATCGAAACTCTCTCGAAGATCGCGTTACTTCTCTTCAATGCAAGCATGTTCACGTGGATCGATGCTTAATAGGAGAATCGCAAGCGTTCGATAAGTTAAGTACTAACCTGCTGGCGCATGAAATATTTCACGAAGCTTAACAATGCTAATCGAATACGTCCTATATTTTTACGGTCACGTCGAACGTGTTCAGCACGAAAATCGCTGGAACAGACGGACGGCAAAAACAAAGAAACGTGTTAAGCCGATAAGCATACATACGTGAACCTAATTGATAGTGTTTAAATCACATTACGCCACGCGACGAACTTTTGCCGACGAAATCGATTGACCCACTTGCCATGACGCAATGTATCAGAACGATCTGTCCTAAAGTCGATGGCTCCCCCTCGAGTCGGATTAATTAATGAGCAAACGAAAAGCTGCCGCGTTTTATCGCCACCGACCCTCGACCACTAACCGTGGGGTACTTGACCGATCCGGCTGGATAAAAATCAAGTAATAGTACGCTGGAACTTATTTTTGCAGTACCATGCAATTTTTTTTATTATTTATTGGAACGATAATTCGTATTTTTGTTTGAATTTAATTTTTAAACAGGAGCTGCGTATTGGTAATAATGATCAGGCGAGTAATCGAATAGGTCGAAGTCGAGTTTGAATTTTCCGTACAATTTCTGCATCATATCTTTGTTCAGCTGACTGAAATATATCCTCGATGCGCTCGAGTGACCACCGCTATGTCGCCATCTTGGCTTAATTACCTTTTGCAGGCCTAATTTATGGATCGTGTAAATCTGGTCCCGCCACATTGTTTCTACCTGCAAAGCGTTATATACCCATAACGAAACTGTGCATAAAAATAATTCAGTCTGGATAGGAACTTTACATTCTCCTTTATACTCTCTGACTTTATATTCTCCATATCATAACATTAAATAATTCTGTGAAATATTGTTTTCATTACAGTACATGCATCATTGCTATAAGGCTACCTTCGCGATTATGTCATAATCGACGATGCAAGGCGTGCAGAAGAAGTAGTATGGCATCCAATGATCGTCTCCGTAGCTGGCCAAGTCGGTGTTAATTAGATACTGAACGAATTCTCTGAACGTCGGTTCGATTCCAGCTGGCGAAGGAATTCCCTCTAGTCTGATCACCTGGTCCTTCGTAGGTTCGGTATAATTCCTCTCTGAGAATAAACAAATTCTATTCGCGCTCGCATAACTTTATATAATCATTAAAGAAGTTTCCCCAGACGTACGATGTCGCGTCATAGGGGACATCCGAGTGCAAAGGGTTAACCCAGTGCTCCAGCAAGGAATATCGCGGTCGATATTTTGTCGTGACTCACCGCGGTACTTTTGAACAATCTTGCTGCCATATTTCCGATAAAAGTGAAGTGTCCCGTGTTCCCTTCCAGCCACAGAGTTTTCCAGCTTATCGCGATATGCGCTCAGCAATCTCTCAAATGGGTGCCTTACCACCAAGAGTTTCTTCGTTACCTTTAGAGCCTACATCAATTTTCTCTTCTTGAATCTCTGATACGCTACTGATACCATAAACTTTGTTTCCACGACTCGAACATTTTTAAATGGTATTGTCTAGGGATTTTTCGAAGTAGTTTCGCCTCGGTCGCGGCGAATGCTACGGTGCAATTAATTTCCCGAGTCGACGGGTGAATGCTCAATACGTTTAGCTCGACGCGTGTTTAGAATGATTTAGGTTTACCTTGTCGGCTGCTGGATATTCGAGTTCCGGTATTACCCTTCTCGCGATGGTCGATATCTGTTCCTTTCCACTGTTCAGCTCTTCCTCGGGCACGTTCATTAGAAGACATAAATTGTAAATCCATGTTGTGCTACCGGCTTTGTAAATTGGACAGTATGATAGATTATGCGACCTGTTCGAGGAATGATATCGTAGAAACGCGATAGATTAAAGCGTTAAGATTCTTCAGTTATGAATAACTGGAGAGCGTGAATTTTTATAAATAATTCCATGGAGAATATTATCAAACCTGCTTATATAAAAGACGCTATACTGTGGCGCGGGTGGGTGCTTAAAGCTTGCAAGTTTATCGGGTTCTTTATATGCACCTAGATTGTATCTTCGGCAAGTATACTTCGCTGTTAACAATCGCTGGAAATTGTCGTTTTCTGCTTCGACCTAAAAGTAAACACTAAACTACCACTCGATATTCTGTTAGTTCAATTTATATTTCTTCCTTTACGGCTCTGATGTATTTATTATTTTAATACGCGTACCATTAATTTATCCAGTTCATCCAACGTAGGTATTAACTTGTCCTCCTCTCCAACACGATGTAGGGTCAATTTCAATATAAAAAATATCAATCCACAGCCAACGACATACTTTAAAATTTGAAGAACAATTCTTTTGCGGTTTCTATACATCATGCGTTCATTTATTCAAAAGGAAACGTTAAACGTTGAGTCTCACATGAAATTGTCTACCACTCATCTTACGAACACCCATTTTGTTTGGTAATCTCACGAAACGTTTAGTTCGACCTGAGAATTAACAGAAAAAGCACGTATTTACTGGAAGCACGAGGTAAATATTCGTTCTTCCTTCTAGCGAGGCACTGACTGACCGGTTTCCTGTTGTTCTCCGACAGTGATGGATCTGCGGTATTCTAAACCCGTGGCAAGGAGCTTTGTAATTAAATTTAATTTTTATTTTGATTTCAGTTCAAGCTCGAAGAACTAATTGATGTTTGTTTCATTTTTTACTTGCCCCTGAAGTGTATAAATATCATATACACACGGCACAAAACGAAACCTGTAAATGATCATTCATATCGATCACGAATATCAATTTATAAACTATGATACCGATTGAAAATAATAATAAATTGCACGTGTCAGCCATACAAGAAATTATGCGCTAAGTATAAACTACATAGAATTTATTTTTGTCGCGTTTGCAATTCGTTCCAGACAATTGCGTTCGCGGTGAAAGTAACGAACGTTTTATGCGATTGTCGTTATCAGCGAGACACGTTGAAGCGTCTCTTGACCGTGAAATCGTCTGCCTTTCATTCAACGGAAGTTCAAGGCCACGCTATTGCCCTTCCATCAACGTAGAAGTGTGGGTATAATCAGAACTATAAAAGTGAATAGCATCTATCGATCCTCCTCGTCGCGTAATCTACTCTGTTTAAGGTAAAGGAAACTTTTCGCACGGAAATAAATGATTCAGCGCCGGTGGGTTCGCTCACTCTTTGAGGATAGGTTGTTTCGTCATTGTTTTTCACGTAAATATAAGAAGATAAAGACATGGATATATTAATTTTTGAATTTTAACAAGCTTTACAGCCATGTCATCCATATTAGCGCGAGTTTATCATACCGACTGAACAGCCAGTCTGATTCTGAGTAAAGCGTGAGTCTACCATACCGACTGAATAGTCAGTGTAATTGTGAGCAAACCATGAGTTTCTATACCGGCTAAACAGCTACTCTGATTGTGAGTAAAGCGTGAGTGTACCATACCGACTGAATAGTCAGTGTAATTGTGAGCAAACCATGAGTTTCTATACCGACTAAACAGCTACTCTGATTGTGAGTAAAGCTTATTTTCATCTTACCGACTGAATAACATCAGTTGAGTAAAGCTTATTCACCTGACCAACAACGTGTTGAGTGGTCGAATCCTCCCCTGCCTGTGTCGCAGACTCTATAACAGGCAAGTCACTTAATGTCATACTTTGAACCTGCAACATGTTCTTTGCTGAGAAACGTATGTCAACGTGACGTTTTAATTTCTCGTTATCATTAATGTTCTTCATTTGTGGAATTTTTCAGGGACCACCCCTTGCCTGACGGTGTTTTTATTGCGTCGACTGATTAAGTAGATTGATCACACTTCCAGAAGACATTTTCCCCGATGTTCGTATCCTCGTGGCAGTGAAACGGCGACGATTTGAATAATGCATGCCGCGTCTCGCTTTCCACGTGGCCCCGAGACGCTGAAACAGACCCGTTCGCGATTAGTATGAATATTCCGCTGATGAAAAACGAGAGAGATTTCCCTATGGAACATTATGCACCGAAGTCGCGGAGGCGAAACGCGTGCCGCCCGCGGGTAGCAAGAAAATAATTAGGAACGCGTTGCGTGCCACGTCGGTCCACTAAATCGCCGTTTCGATGTATATGCAAATCCATTGCGATTCCAGCGTCGTTTGAACCTCGCGAGGCGTCTTCAAACCAGTCCTAATATCCGTGTTTTGCATTTTGTAATCGTTTCGAATGTACGCGAAGACACGAGAGAAACGAAGTTTGTACTTAATAACGTCTTATTAACGTCTTGGGTATGACGTACTTGAAGTAATTGGTATTTTCTTGTAATTGGCGTGTCTTCTTCGGGGGTAATTATTTATAAAGTATCTTGTAGTAGAATGCAAAATATTGCGAAGCCGTGGTAGATCTTTTTATTCTGTTGACTCTTGAGGAAGTTCCTCCACGAGTTCTTTGGAACTATGAAAAGTCGATAGTATCGATCACTTCCGTGTAAATAGAGCCGAATCGGAAAGCAAATGCAGATGTTACCGGTAGATTGTATTCAGACTTGCTGCGACGATCGATAACATTCGTTTCTCGACTCCAGATTCTTGTCGAATGACATCGCCTGCAAATGTTTTTATAAATGTATCTTGGACTAAAAGGTGCAATAATCTTTAAAATAAAAATCATACAATAAAAAACCGCTAAATGTATCTCATAAGCAACCTAAATGACATTAAGGCGATCCAAGTTGATGAAATTTAGTAAATTCTTGTGGTCGTACCTTCCCCTTAACTTTCAATTAATCGTAATTTGATCTCGTTTCAGGAAGACTGGCGTGCTCGTGTCAGAGGCTTTGAGAGGGTAGCATCGGCTTTACGAACGTCTTCAGCACTGATCGCGATAGAGCCGCGATTAGGATCTCTTTTGCATGCAGTGTTGGGCAATGAAAAGAGCTGTCGAGTCGCTGCTGCCGGCCTCGCAGTGGCAAAGGTACATTTGCGACTCGTAAATTTTCGCCTCCAGATCAATCTAAATGTTAAGTCTATTGTTCTTATTCGCTACAGTCACAAAAAATGGTAAACTTCTACTCTAGATCTTTATCTATATTGCTTTAATTACTTGGTATTTACCTCATATTAGGTGGTCGTAGCTGGGGTAAGCGAGGAAGCTCTGAAGAAGAGGCTACCACAGTTAGCCTGGGGTTTAGCGAGGCAAGGTGGTCCGAGTGCTGCTCAGCTAGCCAGGATCGCGATGCTCAGGCTCAGACCTGCTCTTCTCTTGGAGCAGCTTCTGCAGCCGCAATGTTTGAACGCCAGAAACGCAAAGGTGACATCTGTTTAACAATATGTGTAATTTATAATTATTTTCTAGTGCCATCCTAATAGTTTCTGTATTAAACTCTTCTCAGATCAGAGAAAACACCCTGCAGCTGTTGATCTTTTCCTTGATAACATTTCCAAGCACGGAATTCAAAGTGGACGCCGTGGCCAATAAAGTAGCCAAGATGGTCAGAGATCGACGTCGCAGGGTGCGACAAGCTGCACTTGATACTCTGGCTGTTCTGGCGCAGATCTACGAATCCGAGGTACTTGAGCACTGCTCGAAACAATTGTAGAATCAAGATTTCTCTTCAGAGCAATTATTAGCAATGCTTGCAGGAAGTATTAGCCGCTGGAAAACGCGCTTCGGAAGGACACCACGACAGAGAGGCAATGATCTCTGCTATTAGAGCACGCCTCGCACGGAAGTCCTTGCCTCTGGTTTCCGCCGATGGCCTTGTCATGTATGGCCTACAAATTTCACCTACCGTGCAAATAGCCACAGGTAAATTACTTTTTTTCACTCTGACGATAGACTGCGGCAATAAGCTGTATTTAATTTCCTCCCGTGCTACCTTCTATTGATGGCTTGATTAAATTCTTTCAGGCCCTGACGTCGATTGGATCGTGGCAGGAAGTGGCTCCGTTTCCCCTGGCATTAGTCGTACCAAAGGACAAATTATATCCACGAGGTCAGAAAAGGAGAAACTTGCAAGGTAATAACTTGGATCATAAAGGTTTACGCACAATATCGTATTAAATCTTTCTAGGAATGAACATGGCAACTACAATGAAAATCGGTGGATCGACAGGCCAAATTTTGTTGCTCTTGGAGTGGGTATGCGTTCTAAGACGGATCACCCTGTGGTTTGGCAGATAGTTCCAACGCAAAGTCAGGTATGATTGCTATGAAATACTAATTTTAACTTCCATTACATGACTCCAGACTACTTCAATCATTCTCGATGCGAACAGTACCTGGCTGCCGAGCCAAATCAATAACTTCGGTATGTGCATTACCGTTGCGTTGAATGCAAATGGTAATTAACAATTTTGATGAGGCCATTATCGAAATGCAAGTCTGCGAGCTTAAGTTCGGTTCGAAATTTTATCGCGTGTCACGAGGTCAGCAATGTTCGCGTGGTGCAACAGTATTATATAGAAGCAGTTTTAATCCACAAATCATGGTTGTAACTCATCGCTTAGATTTACACAATTTGAATAAACAGTTGCACGCTGGATAAGCGGCAATATTTCAAATGTCTATCATTGCACAAATCATAATCGTATACAAACGACTTGCTAACAAATAATAAAGTAACAAGGCGTTTTTCGGACTATAAATTATAAGCTTTCAACGATTAATCGTTTGACTCGTCGACAAATTTCAAGTCAGTATGTCGAAGACGTTCGTTTCGTTTCTTGTTTTTTCTCTTTTGTAGTTCTTTACGAGATCGGATAAACGGTATGATAAAATTCTTTGAAAGGGATATTCTTACTTTTTGGTCTAATAAACGTGTTAATGATAATTAACACCTTGGTTAATATTCAATTGACATTATGTCTCGCTTGAATTTGAAACATTTATTAGAATTATTTGAGGTTAGAAGGTCTCACACTGTCCTGTTACAAATTGTCATAAACGTAATAAAATTTAACTGTATATTTAAGTGATATAAACGCAGTGTGTATCGCTTCTAGGACCTCCAATGCGAAGATGAAGCAAACCTACGAGCGTCTCGAGGCGTGAACACTGACATCCGTAATAATCATTGTATTTTTTAACTTTTAGCGGTCATATTGCAGGCATGGCGGTAGTACGATGGGAAATGCAAAATATTGTTACATTTTAGGGGACGGCACCAGCTCTAATTCGAACGCGAAGAATCAAGCGAGACTTCCGGCTTCCACAAAAGAATCTACAAATTATAGAAATATCGTTGACGATAATTTTGAAAGAAGAGTAAGTTTCACTTTTCTTCTGAAATTATCATAGGTCATAATAATCTCTATTAACGTAGCGCACATTTTAGGAAATTAACAATAAAACAGAATCTAGGATACCTGTGTTATTCACTCGCGATCGAGGATCAAAAGTCGTCGATTACAACCTGGATAAATCTACTAATTTTGAATTAATCGCCTCTCAGTCGAGGAGAAGATTAAAAGACGCTGCGGAGACCACTGCGCACATGAGTTCTCAAGAAGAAAACGGCAGGTACTAATCGTTAGTAACAGGTATACATAAAGACATCGAAATATATATAATATGATTAATGATATATGTTCACAGAGGAACCCTGTTCCGAAGAAAAAAGAATCAAGAGAACAGTACTAGCACGCAAGAGTCAGATGTTATCCCCAGAGTTCATCCGAAATTTTTGGAGAAAGATAGGTATCAAAAGAAGCCTGACGTCGGCTTAAGATACGGTCGCTCAAGCTCTATTGAACGTAATCAACCATCTTTGCCGAGGAACGTTAAGCAACAGACGTTTGTTATGCATGACATGTGGGTATAAACTTCACTTGTAAAAATACATTTTTAATATCCAATTCAATAATTTAATACAAATTTAAAATTTCTCTCCGTTTTTCCTAGGTACAACACGAGTACTCGTAGAGAGGGGCGGTTTACCGATGAGAACTCTTTCCGACCATTGCGGACAGCTCCTACACCATTGACGCATACCTACAATAAGATAGATTTTACACAAAGAGGAGGCGAGATTGACGATACAAACATGTTATCAAGAGTAAGTATTTACAGTATTTAATTAATACAAATATTAATACAAAGTAATTTTGACAATTATGTATTACATTGCAGGCAAGATTCTACCGCAGGACGAAGGACGCAGCCGCACAAAAAATGAACAATGTCGAGTTGATTTCATCTGACGCTCAGGCAAATGATCATTTTCCTGAGATATGCCCTGACACTCCTTACAGAAGAAGGCTACGATCGCTGTCTCCGTCGCAACTATATCATCGCCAACAATTTGCTAGAATGGCTGCCAACGAAGTACACGCAGCGTCCATGTATGATATGTAAGTAACAATTTATTCTTTCATATATTCTTTAGTAGGGATTTTTAATGTAATAATACTTGTTCGACGATGAAAAGTGCGTATTCGTACATAAGACTCGCCGTCTGGCTTTCTCTTATCTGCTATCTCATAAAATCGATCGTACCCAAAAATAAACCTAAGTGGAATAGTATGTACATATTAATCGATATAGAGAATAATTTTTAGGATATTCGTGCGTTGATAGAAAAACTGGCGTACATTCGTAGAAAGAAATGGATAAAGTAGGAACTGTGGGGAATGTGTAATAAATTTTTATCTGCGGCAGGTGACGCGGTACATTCTTATGGGGGTACTATCGTCGCGGTGGTGCGATACTTCATTGATTTTCAAGTCGGTTTGTCTCATTAGTCTATATCTCAGAAAATTATTCTCCTATTTTCGTACATGTGTACAACAAATTCTTCCTCGTTCCAACGCCATGGCAGTGTTTTGCATTTTTTACAACTTTTTAACAGCAGATCTAGATACGCGACAAATGTAAGACTCCGCAATTTCGCCGTGCGAATCGATACTACGCAGAAAAATACTTAACAGCTGTTCTGGGAACATGACGGCTGAGTAAGGACGCGTTTTCACAATTATTGGCGGATTACATCGCATTTGCTTAACCAATTTCTTGAAACCACTTTTACATGGGACGTGACTCACAACTGTGCCCAATGAATTGTCCTAATCTTGTTCTATCCTTGAATATTTCGACGTAGAACCGCAAAGATTCGAAGCGATCGGTTAGGATTACGCACGAGAGACCGTTTAACGAGGCAGTCGTATGGAATAAATAAACGGGCAGTAGTGTGTCGAGACATTCTAGATCTCGTTTCTCATTCTTTGATTTATGAACGTCGCGTGAGAAGTAATGCGAGAATAAAACGGCAATCACATCTTGCCTGTAGACTAAACACGGTAGCGAATACTAACCACATAATAATTGAAGCTCATTACCGGGATGGCTAGAAAACTCCTACGGACATTGTGTCTCGGCGTAGAATTTGCATGGCTGCCAAGTTGGATTTATAAGGCATCCGCATGTCACAAATGTTATACACTTCGTGGACATTTTCATTTTGCTATACTGTATATTGTTACCGAGCAATGAAACAATATAAACCCGAAGGGGGATCATAGTACCACCTTTGATGATAAAAGGACAACATCGGAAGGTGTTCGTATACCTGTCAGATATCTCTACGAAGTAAAACATACAGACAGAGAAATAGCAGTAGTCAATAGCACCTTGTCATTTTCACCTGGAACGCACACACCTACGTAAGTTTCCACCCTCGTGCTCGAGGAGAGGGGTGGCAAAGGTACGGTCAGTGTATAGTCATTCGATAAGGTATCGCGTGGTTACAGGTGAAATGGTAGAAGGGAAAAGAGAGAAAAGCTAGGGGAAGGGGACGCGGTTTACCTGGAAGGGGCAGCGGTCAGCGTCGGGAC